CTGGTCTGTCTAGCCCAGATGAGCTGGCCTTGGACATGCACACAAAGCCCCTCAAGGGATGTGGGATTTCAAGGTTGGCAAGTGCACACTCAGAGCTGAGCAGATGAAACTTCAACGAGTCATTAGTATACATGGTAGATGCCATGTATTCAATCCTCATGAAAATACATTCCTGTGCCTACATCTGTGAGATTGGAGACTATGTTGGTGACATGTCAGGTTGTGCAGAGACTTTTCAGGATAAGACCTTGTGAGAAAAAAATGTTTGTTCCCTGTACTCTACAGCTTGCTATCTCAACACTGTACTTGCTCTCCAACCAGAGGCCACAAGAATTTCTTGGCCTGGTCCTTCAATGTGTTCTAAAGTTTTAGATGCTGTATGCTTAGGCCCAGGTGCTCAGTCATGCTTATAGGTCCAGTTAACCATAGACAATTCATAAAGTAGCAAGCCTGACTGTAACCTCCAAACTTAGCATGCCCTAAACTTTGCTAGCTCAGAAATCATTTTTACATAAATATACATATATGTATGTGTGCATAGGTATAATCATTTAGCTGAAAGGCTGTATAGAAACTGCTAGCCTGCAGGGATGGCTAGGTTTGGTCTACTTGCTATCGTCTGACATCTAGTCACATGTCACATATTGTGGGAAGTGGTGCCACTCAGTGTCACAGCTTGTGTGGAGTATTGAGAAGAATGTACATGAGTCCAGATTCTGATTCCTATGTGTATGTTGTGTGATCCTGGCCAGGCCAAGTATGTTCTCTGTCCCTCTGTCCTACACTGTACCGTGTGGGTACATGGGTACCTCCTCGCTGAGTTGTTGTTACAGGAGTATTGGGAAGTTCAGAATCCAGGATGAACCTGTGAGCTCACCTGTTTCACCAGGAGAGGGTATGGGACAGAGGCCCTGCCTGTCACATGCCGATTAGATCAAGAGCCTTCCCTCTGCTCGTTGGTGTTCCCTAAGAGCATCAGGTGGCAGTTCTATACTGAGCTTGGACGTACTTATAATGTGGACCATGCTTCTTATGTTCAGTGCTCACTCTTGCCATATGGCTTTTGAATATAACTTATTTCAAATCCTGGCTCTGGGACTGCAAGTTCTTTTTGTTTAATATATTATTAATATAAAGATGACATACAGAAGAATTACAGTTACATAAGTCAGGAAATGAGTACATTTCCTTTCGTATACTTGTCACCCCTTCCCTCAAACTCTGTCCCTCCCTCGTCTTCACCAGCAATTGCATAGTTTACTTTCAACCGTGTCCTGTGAGCACCACTGCTGCACTGCTGTACTTTTTCACCATTTTTCCCTTGAGTTATGCGACCCCCTCAAAGATAGACACATGAATAAGCCATACAGGAAAAAAAAGAAAATTTAACAACAAAAGAAATCTTGTTTCCATATATGGAGTTTGTGTGTGTATATAGAGAGAGAAGGGGGGGCATATAGGGATTGCACCTTTAGGTTTCTCCCCTAAGAACATCCTCTTTTGGTCTCACTGAGTCTACAGTCATATCCCAGTGTATTTTATATATAACTTCTGCATATGAGAGAAAACACATGCTATTTGTCTTTCTGAGCTTGAATTACCTCACTTAACATGCTTTGTTCTAGGTCCATCCATGTCCCTGCAAATCACATTGTTTCATTCTCTATCACGGCTGTGTAAAATTCCATTGTGTATAAGTACCACAGTTATTGGATCCATCCATCTATTGTAGGGCATCTGAGCTATTTTAATACATATCTTGGCTATTGTAAATAGTGTGGCAATGAACATGACTGTGCAAGTGTCTTTATGGTATCCTGGCTTGTCATATTCTGAGTAGATGCTCAGGAGTGGTATGACTGAGTCGTAGGCAAGATTTATGTTTAGTTTTTTGAGGAACCTCCAGAGTGCTGTCCAGAGTGGTTGTATTAGTTTACATTCCCACCAACAGTGCCGTAGAGTTCCTTTTCCCCCACATCCTTGCCAACTTTTGTTGTTCAGATTCACAATTTTGGCCATTTTAACTGGTGTGAGATGGTATCTCAGGGGTGTTTGGATTTGCATTTCCTTAATGGCCAGGGATAATGAGCATTTCCTCATGTTTCTTTGCCATTCTTCTGAGAATTCTGTACTTAACTCTTTTGCCCATTTAGTGTCTGATTCATTAGCTTTGGAAGGTGTTAGTTTCATGAGCTCCTTGTATATGTTGGATATTAGGTCATCGTCTGATGTAGTTTAATAACTATGTCCTTACATGTGAAGAAATGTTTTAGTTTGATGTAGTACCACTTACCAACTCTCTCACCTTTCTGCTGTGCCCCCAGAACTGTTTTTTAGTTTCTACCTGTACCTCTGAGTTTTAGTGGTTTTCCTACTCTCTTGCAGTAATTTCAAAGTTTCAGGTCTGATGTTGAGGTCTTTGATCCACTCTGAGTTGATATTGGTACATAGTGACAAACAGGGATCCACTTTTAGTTGTCTGCATATGGATATCCAGTTTTTCCAACACCAATTATTGAAGAGATGAGACTATCTTTTTTTCACTGTATATATTTGGCTCCCTTATAAAATATCATGTAACTGTATATTTCTGGGTCTTCTAATCCATTCACCTTTGGGTTTCAATACCACACTGTTTTTGACTTGCTTTTTTGTCAGTCATGGGGCTTGAACTCTGGGCCTGAGTGTTGTCCCTCAGCTCTTCAGCTCAAGGCTAGTGCTCTAACCACTTGAGCCACAGCGCCACTTCTGATTTTCTTTGTTCTGCCATCCTCAGCCTCCTGAGTAGCTAGGATTACAGGTGTGAGTCACTGGCATCCAGCTGCTGTTCTTGTTATTAAAGCTCTGAAGTAGAGCTTGAGGTCTGGGATTGTGATACCACTCATACTGCTTTTTTGCCTAGAACTGTTTTGTCTATTCAAGGTCTTTTGTTGTTCAATATGAATGTTTTTACTGTCTTGTCTTGGTAAAGAATGTCATCAAGATTTTACTGGGGATTGTGTTCACTTTATCATTTTTAGCAGTTGGGCCATTTTCACATTACTTTTTCCTATCCACAAACATGGAAGTTCTTTCCATTTCTTGATGTCATCTTTGATTTCTTTCTTCAAATTTTTATAGTTTTTGCTATAAAAATCTTGTGCATCTTTGGTTAGATTTATCCCCAGGTATTTTTGTATGGGGAAGCCATTGCAAATGGAGTTCTTTTCCAGATTTCCCTCTTACACATTTTTGGCATACAGAAAGGCTATTGATTTTTGTGGGTTAATATCCTGCTACTTTGTGGGACAGGCAAGTTCTCTGGCCCAGAGCAATTTCTCTGTAGTGGAAACCTCAGGTTTCTTCATGTGCCAGAACAGCATGAGGCAGGGGTGGACATTCACACTGGTCCTTCTGAGTGCTGTCTTCCTGGAGCTGATGCTTTGCTAGGACCTCTCTGGCATTACTGAGAACAGGACAGAGCATACTATAGAGTGGAAGGGCAGTGAGATGAACTGTCCCTCCCCATAGCCAGCCATCTGCCTCTCACTGGACTAGTAGATCAGGCAGGAGTACCCTTCAACCACACTGCCTCGGGCATTCCAGCAGGATCCAGCTCAGTATCCTCCCTTGAGTACTTCACATTTCAGTCAAGTAATTCTCCAGACTAATCTGGAGATGGTCATTCGAAAGTCCTCTTCTCTGATGAGCACATGACCACACTACACTTGCCACGGTTGAAGCTGGCCCAGGCCTCATCTGCTGCTTGCTTCCAAGCAGTTTTCATCCTTGGAAGAGCAGAGCCTTTTTCCCTTGTGCATCTGGACTTGCTCAAGTGGATCTATAGCACTGGGTGTTTAGAAACTTCTAGCCTGTGAGACTTGGATTGCAACGACGACGGTGAGTCACAACCAGGTGCTAAATCCATGTTGAATGTAGCCTCTCAGGGTGAAGATGCGTTTCATCTGACTAAAACTAGTGCATACCCTTGGGAATCTCTGATCTTAGAGGGTTTCTAGGTTACTAATGTGAAACAGAATTCCCAGACCAAGAGATAGTTTCTTAGATATAACCAAGAGTCCTGATGGCCCATGAACACTGTGCTGCCCCAGGACAGCAGCTGGACTTGATTGGAGTTGCTGACATACCAAGCCACAGGCCCACAAGTTGGAAGTCTAAGAAGTGCTTGGCAGCTGATTTCCTCCTCACAGAAACAGATGAGTGGAAAGCCACTGGTGCTGTTTCCCCTTGGCTTGGATTACCAACCTTCTGCTCATTCTTTGCAAGTGCTTAATAGTGTCTTCACACGTGGTGCTGGATTCCTGGCTTCAGTGCCCTGTCTTGGGAATTGTGTTGGTGAATTCTGTCATTTGTGCCAGGATGCACCTGCTTAGAGACTGTGCTGTTTGGACTCTGGCTGTGGTGATGTCTCACCTGCAGGGAGACTGGGAGGACATCCTGGGAGGTCCAAAAAGGAATCCCCTCCACAAGCAAGGGCACTTAGATGTCTTTGGGACTGAACAGCCTGCTCTTGAAACAGGCGCAAAGAAATGGGACTGGCAAAGGGCCAGTTAGCCTTGTCCTCCTGAACTCAACACACTGCCTTGACTTTCACACAAGCTGTAATGGACAGTGGTCTTAGCCCTCTGTATTCTAACTGGATGGTTTTGATTGAGAGAGGCCCTTCTCCCTTCATGCAGCTCAAGGTCATTCTTACCATGTTCCCACAGCTGCTGGAGAATCTCGAAACCCCTCAGAATACACAGAACAGCAAGTTTGTCTACGCCAGCTCCAACTCAGGAGTGGTCCAGGTTCCTCTGGCCTTCTGTAGGAAGCACAGCAGCTGTGGGGAGTGTGTGCTGGCGCGGGACCCCTACTGCGCCTGGAGCCCCTCTGAGCATGCCTGTGTGGCTCTCTCTGAGGCTCTGAACTGCACCAGGAGGTATGCACTGGTACTGTGGGTGAGCAGCGCTGTGAGTGAGCAGGAAGTGATGGGTGTCCTTTCTCTTGCAGGACTTGCATTCAGGACCTGAGTGGTGATGTGTCTTCATGCCCACGTGAGTTCTCCCTGTTATACCATCCCCTCAGGAACATTCTCCCTGTTATACCATCCCCTCAGGAACAGCTAGGCCAATCAACCACTTCATGGTATTTTTCTCTGAGGGTGTGTGTGTGTGTGTGTGTGGGTGTGTGTGTGTGTGTGTGTGTGTGTGTGTGTGTGTGTGTGTGTATTTTTATTTTTCTCTGAGGGTGTGTGTGTGTGTGTGTGTGTGTGTGTGTGTGTATTTTCCCCTGCGTGAGCAAAATATACTGAGTCTGTAGCATTTTGAATGCCAGGGTGATAACACAAGGGCCAAATCCCATATTGCAAATATAGATTTCATGGACAAAATTATTTAAAATATTGTATGCATTTACCTCTAGGCTTATATACATTAGATCCACTTGAAACATAAATGATTTCTGATCACCTAATGAGACATATACAAATATTTCAAAATCTGAACCGATTTGAAATCCAAGACACATCTGGTCCCAAGCACCTCAGACAAGAGATCCACAGTCCCTCATTTTCCACCTACCCTTGGCAGCCTACTGGTAACCAGAGGCAGGGATTGAATGAGGCCAGGATTCTCTGTCTCAGTCTTCCTCCCCTTTCTGACCAGACATCTGTCTTCTGGTGAGGAGAAATGGAAAAGAAGGGGGAAGACTGGCATGCAATATAAGCCTTTTCTGGGCCACCAGATGCACAGCGGGGTAGAGCTTGGCCTCCCTGACCTGATGAGCTTTCTCCTGGGACAGAGTAGAGATGAGATCTCTGCTGCTCAGAGTCCTCTGGTTTCCTTGTCCCTAAGGGTTGCTGGCTGGGTCTCATCTTATTTTTTGGTCAGGTATGTCTTTGTTTTAGTGCTCCTGAAGTTCCATCTTGAATATTTCTGTGTGATCTGCGGGCATTATTCTGTTTTTGAAAGTAGCTAATATCCCTATTGTTGATGCTGTGCACATTATGTTCTAGCTGAAATTATAGAAAATTATCAGAAGAATACTTACAAACAGCATTGTACAGCATACTTAACATGCGATGCAAAGTCCAACATGGCCCAAATACTGTGGAAGTTCTACAATGAGACAATGAACCCTAAGAGACCCAAGTATGTTTTTGAGAAAAGGAAAAACCTGATCATCTTCAACCTGACTGAGAGAGACAGCGGGGTGTACAGCTGCCTGTCAGTGGAGAAGATTGGCAACACTACAGTCTCCCGCATACTGAAGAGCTATTTACTGGAAGTGAAGCATGACCCAAACCCTGACTGCTACAAAATATAGAATAATCCACAAAGCATCAGTGACATCCACCTAGATGTCTTTTCCTCAATATTAGCCATTCACTAGTGACTCAGGAGGCTGAGATCTGAGGATCAGGGTTCAATGCCAGCCCAGGCAGGAAAAAAGTCCTGAAACTCCAATAAACTACCAGAAAAACTGGAAGTGGTGCTGTGGCTCAAGTGGTAGAGCAATAGCCTTGAGCTGAAGAGTTGAGAGACAGCGCCCAGGCCCAGAGTTCAAGACTCATGACCAACAAAAATAAGTAAATAAATTAGCCATTCAGCACTCCCAACACACCCACACCTTTGAAAGATGGTCAACACCACAGTATGCCCTACTCAGAGATGACAGTGTATCTCAGGTCAAGTGACCACTGGCTCCCTATGATCTCCTTCATCCTCTTCCTCTTGGCCTAAGTTTGCTATAAAGGCTACTTGCTCAGACAGTGCTTCAAATTCCGCTTAGCCCTGCTACTCAGGAAGAAGCCCAGTTGAATTTTTCTGACCTAGAGCACAGTATAAATGAGTTGGTGAAGTTCATGAGCTTCTCCCAGCAGAATGGGAAGCAGTCAGAGCCAGCCCTGGACACCATCACCAGCAATGCCTCCACTGACTGACCAGACTCATAGAGGTCCAGTGAGCTCTCCACCAGAGAAAAGCTATTCGATGCCAAGTGTGAACTGAGTGAGGTTCCTGGATCTGTGGAGCGAGTTTTGTGTCAAACCTACTCAGTAGCCCAGTCTCATCATTGTGCACTGAACCTTGCCGTATGTTCTAAGCAAGTTCCAGACAGTTTTTATTTTCTACTTTTGCTTCCTTGCTTCTGTAGCTCTCTTGAAGATTACTGCCCTATGTCCATGTCCTATGTCTCTTGACAACTGTCCTACATCCAGTAGGCAGGTTTTGAATGAGGGAAGGTGGTTCAATCCTCCCAGATTTGGTCTTGGCTGCTTCTCAGAACCTCCAGTCCAGATAGAGGGAACTTTTGCAAACTTTTGTCTGTATATCTATCTCTATGTCCTCCCTCTCACACTGCCAGTGGGATTCCCCTTGGCCTTAGAACGCCCACCCACAAAAACAGGCCTGTGTGGATGGGACCACTGGCTACAGACATGACCACAGCATCCTGATACTCAAGGCTACCATCCCACATGACTTCTGTAGCCCCGCTGGTGGCTCATGCCTGTAATTGTAGCTACTCAGGAGGCTGAGATCTGAGGATTGTGGTTCAAAGCCAGCCCAGGCAGGAAAGTCCCCATGAGACTCATCTCCAATTAACTCCCAGAAAACTGGAAGTGGCGCTTGGCTCAAGTGGTAGAGTGCTAGCTTTGAGCTGAAGAGCTGAGTGACAGCACTCAGGCCCAGAGTTCAAGCCCCATAACTGACAAAAACAAACACCACCAACAACAAATGACTTTCTGTGACTTTCACTAAAGATGTAATTGGATAGTATGGTTTTCATGCACAGTCTGTAACATGAATTAAAAGTAGATTTTATTCCATGGCTAAGTTTAAAAAGCTGGGCTTGTGTGTCTGTATCACAGCCTCATGTTCAACATGTTGTGGTTATTTTGTTGGAAACATGTTTTGTTAGACTTGCTTTTTTTTCTATTTTGAATCCTATACATCGGGAAAGGACCTGAATAAATGAGAAGGCACATTGACTTGGGCAGACCATTAGTTACCTGTATGATGTCTCTGGTGTGGTGGCCGTGGGCACCTTTTTCCTTCCCCAGCATGGGTTGCCCCAAGTCCAGGGATTGTGGAGTCTTGACCTGGGCTGATTGGCCCAAAGCAGCCATTTTTGTGATAATTTTCTCTAAGTAACCAGTGGCTGTCTGATTATCAGCACAGCTGAGTCACTCTTAGGCCATGAAGATTTTGAGAGAGACACACACTGGGCCCTGTGGCTCACACCTGTATCCTAGCTACTCAGAAAGGTTAGATCTGAAGATCATTGTTCAAAGCCAGCCTGGGCAGGAAAGTCTGTGACTCTTATCTCCCATAAACTACCCAAAGCCGGAAGTAGTGTGTGGCTCAAATGGCAGAGCACTAGCCTTGAGCAAAAGCAGCTCAGGTGCATTATCCAGGCCCCGAGTTGAAGCCCCAAGACCAGCAGACACACATCTGTACATGAACTTTTCTTTCCTGGTCCTCATGGCTCTGCTATAATCTTATCTTGGGATCCCCTCACCTCCAGGAAGGGCTGACAGGACGCCGGTTGAGATGATCCTGCTCCCGTGCAGGATCTGCACATCTCCCTGTACTCAGTAGTCCAGGAAAGGCTTTCCCTATAGGGGCTGGAGTATGTCCACCTGGAGGGCAATGCCCCATGCTGTTGAGGCAACTGCAGGAGAATACGACAGAGTACGGTATAAACGGTCATGATGACAGACGGCACCCAGGGCAGGTAGCTTTCTGGGACTGTAGATTTGCCCTAGCATGGCAGCTGAAAGGACAAGGCTATGGCCTCTGACCTCGTGGTCTTAGCTTGGGGCTAGGAAGTTGGGCATAGCTAGGCACAAAGAAAGCACACAGTACTCCTCTGCCTACCTTGCTCTGGCAAGGGGCATCAGCCTGTCAGAAGAGGAGCGCTTATTTTTTCCTGCCAAGGGCCATTTGTATATTCCTAACACCATTTATGTTATGAGGTTATAAAAAATACACGTAGATGAGCACAGACAGTGGATAAGCAGAATACAAGTCTGTCCCACCACCTACCAGATAAATTTGTGTTTCTTAAAACAGCCTTCAGGCCACAAACCTTCCTGCTACTGCTCAGCTACTACACAATGGTACTACATCACTGCCCTAGGTCTGCGACTGCTTGCTATGTGTCCTGTCACTCAAGTAGGATCATGTGCATTGTTTTACCATGTTATAAACACCAAATACCGCACAATTCATCACAGACATCACATATACCAAACTACATGGCACACACATCAAAGCAAACATTATACCATGTACACCACACCACATACCTGGCAGACCACTCACTGCAGAGATCACCTCCCAAACCAATGTATCATATTTGCCATACCCTGGAAACACATCACACCAAAACATGCACACTGCTCTTGCCACACACAATGTGCTCACCACATACTCTACACACATCACCTCACCCGCACTAAGCCTCATGTGATCATTTACAGTTGCTTGCTTCTCAGGAACTCAAAGCCAGTTGTTCAATCAGTAACTGCAGTTCTGCAGCTGTCCAATCACTATCACTGTAGACACAGCATGTCATGGCCTCCCTAGCTTACCTTTGACTTTGAGACTGGAGGTAAGTTTATCTATTGAAGCGCCTCTTTTCCCAAGTGTGCTTTTTGATTTGCTGTTTTGTGGGGTGTGCCTTCTAACACACCTCTGAAAGGGCACAAAGGTATTGAGAACCATGTCCTTTGAGTTTGGCAGTGTATGAAAACTGGCCTGGGAATAACCTCCCTGTAGCATGTAAGGGTCATTACCTTGTCTTTGCTTGTGGCATTTTCTCTGAGTTCCTGTGATCAGAAAAGAGGTGACATTGTACAATAAGAAATGTTCTGATACTGGGGCTTAGAACTCAGAGCCCTGAGTGCTACCCCTTTCTTCACTCCCCTCCTCCCTGCTAAGCACCACATGAGCTATACCCCATTTCCAGCTTTTTGCTGGCAGCCTAGATCTCATGGACTTGCTTGCCCCAGGTATCAGCCTCCTGAAGAGCTAGGATTACATGTGAGCCACCAGTACTTGGCTTCTGTATTCTTGAGTACTGAGATCTTACAGCAGAACACACTTTCCATGTCTTGGCCAGGCCCATTCAATGTAGGAGCCCCTCTGGAGTATGTTCATGACTCTCCATTTCACTCTTGTTCTCTTTCTGGAGTTCATTCCAGAAAGGAAGCTGCTTGGGCTGCTCTTCTACCATTCTGCCTTTTTCTTATTACCTCTTAAACTTTTCCATCTTAGATTTTCTCCATTGAACTTACTAAATGTAATACTTGAGAAATTTCCTCTTTACATAAAAAGGTCCCCTGTGTGGGGACAAAGGGTGAACAAATGTAGTAGTGATACACTAGACACTACGTTGAAAATGAACTTGTGGGTGGAGACAAGTAGGAAAAACTAGGAGTGAGAAAAAAGGTGACACTGTACAATAAAAAATGTACTCATTACCTGAGTCTGTAACTATAACACCTCCGTACATCACCTTTATAACCTTTTAAATTCTCAAAAGAAAAAAAAAGGCCCCCTGTCCCTTAATGCACATGGCAGAAAAAAAAATTTTGCAGACACCTCCTAGAGCATCAGGCATCTGCACACCCGTGAAGTGCCCTGGCTGCTCGGGCCTCCAGGCCGCCACTGGAGTGACTAGGGGGTACCTGAAAATTGGGAAAGTTCACCTGAGTAGTGAAGGCAATGCTGTCTGCCAGTGCCTCTCAGGGCCACAAAAGAGACAGCAGGACAATGTGAAGCCATTGCAGCTTTACTGTACCATTTCCTTGTCTGTGAAGATGGATGCTGCTGTCAATGTGCTTAAAGATGAGGAAACAAAAGCCTGGAAGACAATCCCACCCTGAGTGCTTTCATTCTTAGACCTCCAAGGGGACCGTATACCAGATACCAGGTTGTGTTTACAGGAGAAACTGGGCCAAGCAGGAAGCCCTTGTGTTTGCCAGGAATTCAACCACTTTACTTCTTTTAGAAAAATGTCAGTGGCAGTAAGGACACTTAGGTAACCAGAAGACAGCTCCCACACAGAGCTACAGCTGACCCTGACTGCCGGCCAGTCACCTACTCTTCAGGAAGTACTCACATCCACTGCAGCAAACCTGCTTGCCCTAACCGGCCCCTCCAAAACGCTGGGCAGTAGATGCACTGAACCCCACCGGAACCTGGAAGTATAACCAGGCCCCTTTGAAATGTAGGTGCTAATGCAGGACAGAAGGGTCTGTCTGGGAGAAGTGACCAGGTGTTTAGGAGGCTGCAAACCAAAGCAAGTGTTCTGTGAGAACAGCAGAGTGAAGGCTCTTCAGCCCCAGGCAGCCACCCCTACCTAATTCCAAGACTTCATTTTACATCCACACATTTGTTCCTCCCTCAGGACAGAAAGCAGGGCTGATGGTGCAACTTCCCACATGATTTCACAGAGGCAAGTCCAGCCCACTGCTCTGTCGACCTCAAGTGCTAGCCATTTCAGCCTAGCTGCCAATTCTGGGCCAGGAAAAAGACTCCAGGTGAAGTTATTTGCCTTATACCTTGAGTGAGGATGAGGTGGGGGAGACAGGCAATGGGTGGGGGGCTGTACCAAGTGGTATTTGCAAAAGTACCAAGTGCTCCAATTTTGCAACAAGGCACCAGGCACTACAAGTGGAAAAGCCAAACAGCTCAAATCTCCTGGTGCATGTTAAATTTTTCTGACAAGATCCGAATGATGAGTTTTCTCCTCACTGTGTGTGAACTTTGGAAGGTTTGGCTCTAGAGCTGCCTGGTCTTTAATCTCAATCTGTTCTTGACTGTGAGAAAGTTTTCACAGTTATCATTAAACCAAAACCTCTGTTTTGAACAAAGCCATCCTCTATGTGTGATGCAGGGAGATGTTGCATGTAGTTATGTAACTACAGTCTACTCCACGTCCCTATTTTCTGGGGCAGGATGAGTCTGCAAACTGCCTGTTGTAATATAAGCATACATGTCCCAGCCAGTCAATTTCTGGATCCAGCATGAATGATCATTCTCTGCCTGAGTTCTAGGTTGCCAGGTCACCTTCCCCACAGAGAGCCAAGAGGACCAGATAGTGCCTGGCCACCTGTTAACCCATCTGGCCATGGCATGTTAATCTAATGTGAACTGTAAAATTTTTGTCAACTTTCATTGTGATCCACATTTACAGTGTAGTTCCAGATACAACAAATTGTTGAATTAACTGCTTTGGGCTCCTTTCCTCAGTGTTGTTTCTTGTATTTTATTCTGCAGTCTGGATTTAGTCAGAGCATGTATGCTCATGGCTCAAGAAAACAATTTTATGCTTCAGGTTAGTTAGGATGAAGTGTTCTGTGAGGGGAATGTGGTTATGAGGACAAGCTGTGTTTCCTGAAGCAAGAGTTGTGTTTGTTGGATTCAGTGCCTGGACTTGTAGCACTGGTGATGTGTGCCCCCCGGTGCCAGCTGGATGGCACCTGCAGCCACTAAAGTGATGACACTAAGGACCCCACAGACAAGAACCTGGGGAGGTCAAATGAGAAAGAACTCTCCGGAAGATGAGTCAGAAGCCCTAAAACCACTCACAAGTACTCTGTTTAAAGCATGAGTCTAGATAAGAAAAACAACTCCACATACCTAGAGACTTCCAGGAGCACCTCTAAGCAGGTAGCCTTCATCTAAGGTAGAGATTTTTAAAACTGTTGACTTACCAATTTAAAAACTTCTAGCTGGTGAATGTGAGTGAAGGTGACAGGCCATTTAGATTTTTTTTTCCTACTCATTGATTTTCTGGCTTTTATTCTTAAGTAATCTTCTATTTTCAAACTTAATACAATCAACTTGCCACCTACTGCCACAGCTTATTGTGTAGGACAGAAGAAAGACCCCTTCTCTGTCCCACAGATCTAGCCAGCCACATCCATTTCCCATATGAAAGCACCTCAAAAGTTTTCAACAGTGGGCCACCCTGGCCACCACCAGCTCCAGATGACACAGTGGGCAGCGCTTCGGATCCCAGCTCTGCCATGGCCATGAGTCTGCCCCAAACAGGCCATTGCTACCTCATTCTCTGTGTTAACACTCATCACAGGCCACTTACTTCTCAGAGAGACAAGGCTGGGCATGACAGAATTCAATTAACAGAATCTTCAAAGCCAAAAAAGAATACAAGTACAGGTTGGAACTGAGTTTTGGCAGTTAATACTTGCAGGTCTGGAGACCAGCACAGCAACTGCCCTTACTTAGCCCTGTGGGTTCAAAGGCTAGCATTCCAAAGGGACTAATCGGGATCAGACCACTGATATGCCTAAGATCTAAAAGAAAATTAAATAATCACTCTTTATTCAAAATAAATAAGCCCTCTTACTGGCAGGGAAAAAATAGGAATGCTCTGTCCTCCTGGCCTCTAAGACAGCAACCACATTTAGAATATGTTCATTTAAAGAAGATTTGTAAATTATCAAACTGAAATATAGAAACCTCAATACACATCACCTTTTTGGAAAATAAAGACTAAAAGTAGTAATTCATGTCAGAGTCACAGGTTACAAACTTGTTTTCCTTCTGAGGTTCATTCTAACATATCATTAAGTTGCAGAGCTCTAAAGAAAAGGCCCTTTCCGTTGCTGTCCATTTGCTTAGACACCAGTGTCTCCAGGAGTAGGAGGACAGGGGACAAGAGACAGGTACACACTCCGGCTTCCTGCATACTCCCTTGTTTGGCTCAGCTTTGCTGCAATGGAGAGGTTTCCTTGGTAGCCCAGGACTGTATTTTCCTGATCCACATTATGCTTTAAAGGCCCAAGCTGAATAACCACTCTTGGGAAAGCCTTCTACCAGTGTATCTAAGTATTGGTTTGATGAGATTTGTGGCTTTGAGAGCCCTACAATCATTGCTTCCTGTGCCTTCTCAGGCCAAGTAACTTCCAACTGAAGATCTGAGAAGGTAAAGCCCAAAGTCTTTTCCAAGTCTCCACCCTCTTTGCCCAAAATACACACACACATACACACACAGGAAAGAACTCTCCTCTTATAAATTCAAGTTCATCAAGTGAGAGGTTGAAGTCTCCAACGATTCTTCTAGCTCCAGGGCACACTGACTGTATGCTTCCAGATGTTTCCTCCAGATTTCAACTAAAACAAGAAATAGCTCAAGTGATAAGCAGATACTGACAAGTCACACAAGTCCATCAGAAACCTGCAATGAGTTACAGGTGCTACCAATAGCTCAGTCTGTTCAGGTAAGTCCCCAGCAGGCTCTATTTACTCTTCCTCATCTGCTAAGCTGGATCATACCTTAGTGAGTAGCATCAAACTCACTGCTGCCCCCTTCCATAATGCCATCCCTCACTCCCCCCCCAAAAAATACCTTGGTAAACAATGGCCTTGAGAATCGTCACTTGGCCTGAGTTAGCCTCCCAAGTGGATCTGAGATACAACTGCCATTAAGCCATCTCTGTTCAGGTGACAACTGGCTTGATGTGTGTGAGTCACTGACAAACCCTTCTAACTCCTACAGTCTGATGATTAACACTTCACAGGCAATGGCTCAGACCAGTGGACCCCACTACAGCTGTTCCAGCCTAGATAGCAGACCCTCTTGCATCCAGTCATGCCTTGACCTAATATAGTCTGTATTGGGAGGAATCTACCAACCCCTCCTACAACTGGTCTGGCAGCATCAGTGCCAAGCTACCCTTCTGAGAAGACTAATTTAAAAATGATAACTTAGAGGACATTAAAGCAGACCCTCATGAGTACTCACGGTAGTGTGGTTCCTGTCCAGTGGGAGCCAGGTGACTATCTACAGCAGCACAACCAGGACTCTCTGTGGGCAGGCTAGCTGCAGGCGGAGGCCCAGGTTGTCCGGCCAGCTCCTGCCGCATGTTCTCCAGCATGGTCTTGTATGCCTGCCGGGCTGCCATCGTCAGCTCAACCATCTTGTGAAACTGGTCCTTGAGCACAAGTGAAAGCACAAAGGTGACATCTGCTGACTGCCCGCGGGCAGTACCACCGCCCTCCAAGGTGAAGCAGGGGCAGTGCTGGTGGCAGCAGCTTTGTTTGTGCATGGTAGGCTGCACAGAGAAAACCATGGGCTAGGCTGACTTCTCAGGCCTGCCTGAGGCACTTCTCTGTTGCCCAGGTGTCTAGAACCAAAGTATGAACCTTAACTTGGAGCTGGTAAGGAGACAAGAAATAGCTCAAGTGATAAAGTTTCTTGAGAAAGTTGTTTCAATAATAGCTGATTATCAGTGTCAACATGAGGTTCTGTGCTGTCAGTAGGTGCACACACAGGTTATCTCCAACCTTCTTCCCATGAACACTGACCAGTGACTCACCTGGGCTCCATCGTAGCTGAAGATCCCCACAACACTGACAGGAACTGCTTTGTTCAGACTCCGCCCTAGAGCCTTGCGGTTGAGAGCGAACACAAAGGGGATGTTCTGCTCACAGGCATAATCGATAATGGTGTGAAGGGTGTCATCCAGCCCACCTGCTCAGAGCACAAGGACATATCACACAAAGCACTGATACTGATTCCACAGTGAGCAAGGCACCTCTCTCCCTCCCCCAGTCAGTGGCCCTGACAAATGTCATTGAGAGAAAGCAAGTCACAGCCTCATGAAAGAAACAATTAGTTCTCCAAGAAAGATATTATGCTAATGGAAACATTCATCAGTTAACATCAACGAACATTTATTTCACATCAGGACACTGGTCTATTGTCTCTTAAATCCTAAAATAGGCAGATGGGAAACAGAGGTTGAGATATCAAGGTTCTCACCCTATGTGGAATCACTGATCTGGTGGCCCAGAGGTCATGCTCCCATTGGCTCACTGCCTCTAATGCTTGGACCCACTTTCAACTGACATACCAGCCAAGGCCAGGGTGAAAAAGGAGAGGTGGAAAGCCAATGGGAGCACCAAGGAGCGCTCACAACACAGAAGTAAATGAAGGCAGTGGGCACGTTTCTCTATTCTCCAACAGCAGCAAGTTATAATGCGCTGTCTGAGAAATTACTCCATTCACAAAGGAAATAAGACTGCAATAGGTAGGAATACACTAGTCAAGCAACATGAAAGACATACAGACCTTAAATATGCCAACTAAACTGACAGTATCTAAACACAAAGGCATCTGTACTCTTGAATAGGTTGATGATCTCTATATTATCCTTAAACCTGAAAGTACTGTGACTTCCTACAAACATGATTTGAGAAATTAAATAGGGACAAAGTATGAGAACACCTGATAGTCTAACACTGCCAGGTTACAGACTATCTTCTAAGCCACAGAAAATTTAAGAAGAGAGATGGGGATTAACAAGAGCCAGAAATAACCTCAGTATATGAAAATTGAAAGAGGAAAAGCATTTTTAGATGTTGGGAGACACTAGGAAGATCCATTTAGAGTCATACTTTGGGTAAGACTGAAATATACTCTACCTAAACATAGGGACAGCAAAGAACCAGAGAGGAAAAAAATAGCAGTTAAAAAAAATTCTTAATAACCCTGGCATGGGAAGGTTGAGAAATGAAGTAAAACTAATATGCAAAGAGTAAATAAACAATAAATTACAGTAAATAAAAACAAGAGGTACATTTTTTTCTTTTTTTGCTATTTTTGTTTTCTTTCTTTCTTTTGTTCTGTTTGTTCATTTATGTTTTGGGGAGTCTCAGGGGAGGCACAGAAATGGAGGGACAATGGGTGAACAATTGCAGCAGTGGTATTCACTGGGTATTGTTGAAAATGAACTATACAACTTATGGGTGGGGATAGGAGGGAAAAACTAGGAGAGAATGAGGGAAAGAGTGACATTGTCCAAAAGAAATCTACTCTTATATAATCTGACTTATGTAATACCTCTGTACATCAGGTTTATAATAATGAAATTGAACTCCCCCCAAAAAAGGTAAATAAACAACCAAGCAGGTATGGTGGCAAACATCTATAATCCCAGCAGCTGGGAGGCACAGCCAAGAGGATTTTGAGCTCCAGGCAATCTAAGATACAGTGAGGCTGTATCTCAGCCTCACAGCCAAAATATAAAATAATATTGATAGACAGGGCAAAAAAAGAAAATGAGAATTTAAGAAACAGTAAATAACAAACCAGAAAAATATTTACAACTCTTCACTCACTGGTTTACTCACTATACATAAAAAGATCAGCTAAGAACATGGAACTAACAGTTCACAGAAAATCTGAAGTTCTTGAGAGAGAAGATACTGGGGCTGGGAAGGTGACTCAGTGGTAGAGTGCTTGCCTTGCATGCCTGAGGCCCTGGGTTCGATTCCTTAGCACCACATAAGCAAAAAGAAAAAAAAAACGGAAGTGGCGCTGTGGCTCAGGTGGTAGAGCGCTAGCCTTGAGCTGAAGAGCTGAGGGATAGCGCCCAGGCCCAGAGTTCAGGCCCCATGACCAGACCCAAAAAAAACAAGAGAGAGAAGATACTGACCATAGAAAAGTGCTAACAAGTACCAAAGAGGGTGGTATGTACAACACCTCTATATTAATACAGTAAATTACTAATAATTTTTTTTAAAAAGGGTGTGGGGTAGGGAAGGGGAAGCCATGCCCACACCAGGAGAGGCACGGCAGCAGCCTCTGAAGGAGGTGGGACATACCTCTAGAGCCATAGCTGCACTTCCATGCCAGGCACTGACCCTACAATGTAGATGCAGAACAATTCTACAAAACAACAAATGTTTGCTACATTTTTTTGTAACTCAAGAAATACAATCTGGCACCTAATTACAAACTGTCCATCTATAGGGACTTCTCAAAGGCACAGCCTGTTGTCACCCTATGAAACCAGGAAATTCAATCTCATTCCTCTAGGGATTAACTTTGAGGTGCCAAAGCACTTAATTTTACCCACTTGGCCCCAGATCTCCCTGAAATATATGAATGGTGATGAGGAAGTGAATTTCAGTTATGGACTTGGAAGAAAAACGTACCAGTCCTGGACAGGCTGGAGAAAGAGGACCAGGCACTGAGTGGGTTCTTTGGAAATAATTAACATCAGAGGCATGTCTCTCAATGCCCAGTGTCTATGGAGGTACCCCATAGTCACAAAGGTCATGTGTGTGACCTACCTGCATCTTCACAAGGCCTGCCTGCCAGGCTGGTGCTGGCTGGAGTCTTATGAACTTGGTTGGCTTACAGGAAAGCTTGATGGTCCTCTTGGCTGTAACCTAACTAGTAAGTCTGGATCCCTGTGCCTTCACTGTCTGCACAGTGTGGGTGATGCTCACCACCTGTACCCCTTCAGTACTAGGGACTTTAGCATTGTGTCCCCCTGAGCTTCCCTGCCAGACAGCATTTTATATGACATCACTGTTCCATGTGTCACTCCACTAGAAGACTTGGAAGCCTGTGCCTGGTCTTCTTGGCCTCTACCCATTAGCCTGTTTCCATGCTGCCACTGTTCTGCAGCCTTCCACCTCAATGAATCATGGCCAAGAACAGAACTGCATGCCAAGCGGAGCATGGCATCATTAAGCCTATGGTGGTTCTGAAGTTCCAACAAGCCCGCAGAGCCCAGACTGTATTGTTCAAACAATACCCACCCCAAGCCAATGTTATCTGTAAAGAAACAAAGCATGCTTACTCCGAGGCTGACTGGCTAAGATCCTACAACTGAGCTCAGGTAAAGCAGGCCTAATACTCCACCCACATAAACAATTTCCAAGTTAAAGTTTAAATTTGGTGGTAAGATACTACTTATACTACTACCATGATAACATAGTTCAAGGCCATGACATCAATTTTCACCTTTAAAATAATTTTAAGTCACTGGTTATCATGTCCAACTGGCAAATGTTTACAGGGATTGGGTATGTGGCTCAAGTGGTACAGAACTTGCCTAAAAGCTCCCGTGCTGAGTTCTCTACCCAGTACCAGGAAGAGAAAATAATAAGGTCTCCAGCTACTCTCCATAGTGCCAGAGCAGCAGCTTGGGCATCCTTCCCTGCTGCCAGAGGGAGACCTATGTGAGCTGCTGGAAACTTATATGGAGGCAACATCTGCCTGCCTATGAAGTGCTTTCTGGCAATGCAACTGGGAGACAGTCAAAGAACAAAATGAAAATAAGCTGCCAGTGCTTGCAGGAGTGTGGCCCAGACCACTGGCCAGGTGTGGGGTTATGAGCTTCCCACAGTCAGGGGCCCATGGCCTTACTGCCCTTACCTTTTGACTGTATCTTCTCACAGTTGGGAGAAATTATGATGCATTTCAGTTTCCTGAGCTTTAGGTGTTTAAGAACTTCCCTCAACCCCAGTACAAGCCGGCGCTTGGTCTTGGCCTTGACTGGATCCTTCTGGTACATACGATCTTGGAAACGGACAAGTTCCTTGAGTAGGTCTGTGACACAAGCATCTACTTCTTTACTGAGCATCTGGCTGCAGTAACTGGAAGGAATATCAGACAACAGATCTTGGCCATTGGCTGCAGCTCTAAAAATTGCCCAACCCCAGGGGGATGAGACACAGGATCAGACAGGAAGCCATGGATTCTGACACTAGCACTCCCCAGAACCATGCATTCCTGGGGATCTAAGAAAGGTGAAGAGTATGTATTCATCTCCCTACCACCTTCAACCTCCAACTATGCCTACCCTCATGGCTTACACTCTCCTGTGTCTCCCCAACCTGAGAAACAGCAGGAAGAACAAGCTTTCAATAACTAGAGAGAAACTGGAACATGGAAGAGGACCCAAAAGTCATCATTACTCCATTAGCCAAGCCTCAACTCAAACACAGACTAAAGGCACCATTTCCATTGATACCAGAAAGAAATTGCAGTATAGATGGACCCAAAGACTAGGCCACCCCCAACACCTGCAGAAATAGCTACTCACAATTAATTGATTAGTGAAGAGTAAAGCGTGATGTGGCCGAACTACATGGATTTATGGCCCTGTACATTGTAAGTATGGGAGGAAACAGGACCAAACCCAAACCCAATCCCCACCCCCAATAGGTGCCCACTCACTCCCGAAATCTCCGGCTGTGGATCTTGGGGAGGGTGCTGGAATCACAGATGGGCTGGCAGGCCACTGTGTCCCGCTGGAGCTCTGTGTCAAATGATGGCTCTTCTGACTTGCCCTCAGCCACAGGAGAGGAGGAGACCGATTCTTCTTCTGTCACCACAGGATCTTCAAAAGAAAAAAAAAAAAAAAAAGCAAACCACTGTAGAACCTCTGCAGGTCCCTGTGCACATAGAGGGGCTTGCAGTGCAGGGAACTCCATGGCATAGGTTTACCAACTCAACTAGCATCTGCATACATCCACCAACTCCTGACAATACCGCAGGCAGCTCACAGATAGTGAGCAGCTCACAGACTCAGGACGAAAGGGAAAAGCCCATTTAGACAGTCAAGACAATTTTCTGGTCTTCCTGGATGCACCAACCTCCCTCCCCAAGTCTACTTTTCATTTTCACTATAGTAAAATATACAGAAATGTTACTATTTTACCATTTTTAAGCATGCAGTTCAGTAGCCCAATGTAACTTTCAACTTTGGAATCTGATCTGAAATATCTAAGTATCAGGAAGTTTTAAATATCTTGGTTATAGTTCAGTTGCTTAAATGTTTTAAATCATTCCGTATTAAAGAGTTCCTAAATAGCTGAGCACCAGAGGTCCACACCTGTAATCCTCACTATTCAGGAGGCTGAGAGCTGAGGATTGTGATATGAAGCCAGCCCCAGCAGAAAAGTCACTGAGACTCTAATCTCCAACTAACTACCAAAAAGCCACGAGTGGAGGTCTGGTTCAAGTAGAAGATCACTAACCTTGAGCAAAAACGTTCAGGCATAACACTCCTCAGCACCAGCACACAAAAAAATGGAATTCTTGCTGGGCATGGGAGGTTCACACCTGTAATCTTAGCTACTCAGGAGGCTGAGATCTGAGGATCACAGTTCAAAGCCAGCCCAAGCAGGAAAGTCTATGAGACTGTAACCTTCAACTAACCACCAGAAAACTGAAAGTGGAGCTGGGTTCAAAGTGGTAGAGTGCTAGCTGCTCAGGAACAGCACCCAGGCCCTGAGTTCTGAGTTCAAGCTCCATGACTGACAAAAAAAAAAAAAAAAATTCCTAAGCTGGGCTCTAGTGGCTCACACATATAATCCTAGCTACTTGGGAGGCTGAGATCTCTTACCTCCAATCACTACAGAAAAGGCCATAAGTAGTGCTGTGGCTCAAGTGGTAGAACATTAGCCTTGAGCCACAGAAGCTTCAAGGACAGTACCCAGGCCCTGAGTTCAATGGTATAGCTTAGAGTGTGCATATCTGCTCTGGGCTTGATCCCAAGCACCATAGAAAAAAAAACACAATAAAGAAACACTGGTGAAGTTGGACACCAGTAGCTCCCACCTGTAATCCTAGCTATTCAGAAGGCTGAGACCTGAGGATAAGGGTTTAAAGCAAACCCAGACAGGAAAGTCCTTGAGAGTCTTATCTCTAACAAGCAAAATGCTAGAAATGGAGCTAGGGCTCAAACAGTAGAGTGCTAGCCATGAATGAAAAAGGGAAAGCACCCAGGCCTAGAGTTCACACCCTAGTATTGGCATTTAAAAAAAAAGAAAAAGGAAAAAGAAACCTACCAGTGCCTTAGTAGAAGTCTGTTTAACATGTGGGTATAGTTCAATAACATGTCACCATCAAAAACTGGCGAGGATGGGAGTGTGCACAAGTCTCATCCACCCAAGGGTATAACCGGCATTATACCACAGGTCTGTATGTTAGAGCCCCTAGAGCAAACCCACTTCAACAGATGCCCACAGAAGCGACTACTCAATGCTGTCTAAGCCACATTCTCAGCACTGTCCAGAGCAACCTTACTCAGAGTCTAGGACTAAATTGCCTCAGTGCCCATCCATACTGGGCACATTATCCAGGTAAATATAACATCTAGATGAAGGAAGAAAATAATGAACTGCATCTGGGTGCCATCAAAAGCACTGAGAGAAAAGAACCAGAGACTAAGTGGCACTCATTCAAATTTCCAGTGTTGGTGCCACATTAAGGCAGTCTTCCCTGGGATCTACTCTGCTTTCCTCATCCAGGTGCCATGTTCGCGCTTTGTGAAAAGCCCTCAAGTGGTAACCTTTATGCTCTCTACACTTACCTGAACAGACAACTCAGAAATAAATTTACTACACACACACCTGTATGTGTTGTACTCTTGTTGGTACATAGCGCTACAGATGGTGAGATGGGGTCACTCTCAAGGCCACTTCAAATTAGAAGAATCCCAATGGCACACAGTTCACAAGTATCTCCTCTGTCTCCCAGAAACCCCAGAATCAAAGGCCTGGGATGCTCTACTCCATCAACAGGACTTCATTCCCTGTAAAGCTGGAGTGTGAGAACTCCTATATCCAACATGCAGCATTAACCTGCATTCTATCATAAAGACAAAAGGAGCTGGTAGAATCTAACACAGCTCCTGGACACAGTCCATTTGCTCACTGCTACTCCCACCTGGAAGTCTTTCCAGCATAAATACAAAGAAACTGGTACCTGTGGGCTCTGCCAGGTCAGGGGCCCGGTCATCTGCACCATTCTCTGAATCTTGGGCATCATCATTGGCCACAGCTGGGCTCCCAGCATTTTCTTGGAGTCGCTGCTGTTTTCTCTCTTGTCGTTCTTTCAAAATAATCTTTAAAATAATTAACCAAACAACTTACATACCCAAATAATGTACAATACAAATTCTCCTGCAAAATAAATTTCCCAAGTACTGCTCACTGGTTGTGCATCTGTAGTGCGGCCATGCTCCCCACTCTGCAGTGACTGATCTTATCCCCATACCCAATGTTGAGAGCACCATGGTGATCTTGGGAATGCAAAGCCAGCACATGAGAACCTGACTTAAACCAACTCTAGGATTCAACAGTTACTCAAGCATGAGCACCTCAATAATCATGAAGCATATATACCACAAGAGTGTGTGACTAACCAAATTGAAGGTTAGCACACAAGTAGTTAATAGTCAACAATGAATGAACAGCTTGGTGACCAAAAGTAGAATGTGTTAAGAAGTAACTTCCTTCCCCCTCTCTGGTTTTGTTTGTGCTATTCTAAAGTTACAAAAAAAAAAAGGAAAAAAGTCTGGCACTATTGGCTCACACCTATAATCCTAGCTACTCAGAAGGCTGAGATCTGAGAATCATACTTCAAAACCAGCATGAACAGGAATGTCTATGAGATTCTTACTTCCAATTAAATACCATAAAAGCCAGAAATGAAGGAGTGATATTGAATATACTCTTAGTTAGATTGACATGGAACTGTAAACCCTCTGTACATCACTTGTATTTGTTTACTTTTTGCTCGTCTTGGGGCTTGCAATCAATCAGGGCTTGGGTACTATCCCTGAGTTTCTTTTGTTCAAGACTAGCGCTCTATCACTTGAGCCACAGCTCCACTTTCAGAAAAGTCTCAGAAATTTTTCTGCCCTGGCTGGCTTCGAACCATAATCCTCAGATCTCAGCCTCCTGAGTAGCTAGGATTACAGGTGTGAGCCATTAGCACCCAGCTGTACATCACCTTTATAATAATTTTAAAAAGCCAGAAGTAGAGCTGTGGTTCAAGCAATAGAGTACTAGACCTGAGTGAAAAAGCTCAGAGACAGCACCTAGTACCTGAGTTCAAGCCCTAGGACCAACACACACAAAAAAATTTGTTTTTCCACCTGAAGTGATGGCGCCCTACTTCATACAATGCATCACATCATGGCTGAGAAAATGAGGGTCATGGCCATCTTCAAGAGTAGGCAATGGGGGCTGGGACGGTGGCTCAGTGGTAGAGCACTTGCCTTGCATACATGAGGCCCTGGGTTTGAAAAAAAAAAAGAAAAAAGCCAGAAATGGCGCTGTGGCTCAAGTGGTAGAGCACTAGCCTTGAGCTGAAAAGCTGAGGGACAGCGCCCAAGCCCAGAGTTCAGGCCCCATGACCGGAGGCAAAAAAAAAAAAATTTTTAAAAAAGCCAGCCTGTGCAGAAAGGTCCCTGTGAGACTCTTATCTCCAATTAAACACTCAAAAGCCAGGTAGGTGCTGCAGCTCAAGTGGTAGAATGTTAGGGTCAGGGAAAGTGTCCAGGCCCTGAATATTATATGAATATGGAGAATTTTATTGCCTCATATGAAAATAGAACGAGACCTTTAAAATCATTTTAAGAACAGGGTAGGGGGATAAGGGAGAATGGAAGGGGTGACTTTGATTAGGATACCCTGCATACATATATAGAAATGTCACAATGAAACTCCTCTTATACAATTAATGTTTGCTGATAAAAAATACACATTTTTTCAACATAAAATTTTGATAGAAATTAGAAACAAAGTATGACCCACACTCAGTGGTCAAACATCTCAGACATAGGATGTAAACAGACAGTACCAGTTTTGTTAAACAGTACCAAGTAACATTAGTAAACAAGTAACACACTAAGTAAAAACACAAGTAACAAGTAAACAGCTATGGCAATATGCTAAAGAAACACAAAACACAATGTTATGCAACATGTACAAGTAACATAAGCTTTGGCTGCTTGTTGGGGTGGTACTGGGTCTTGAACTAAGTGCTTCACTCTTGCTAGGCACATACTCTTTTATTGTTGAACCACACCTCTAGCCACTTTTTACTCTGGATATTTTTGAGATATGGTCATATTTCTGGCCTGGCCAGCCTCAATAATGTACAGACCATAATACCTCCTATTTTTTACTTCCCACCACAGATGAAATGAGATGAGAGATGTATAACACAGCATCAAGCTATTGGTTGAAATGGAGTCTTTAGACCTTTTTTCCGAGGTAGGACTCACTACAATCGTCTTGGTGTGTGCCTCCCTAGTAGCTAGATTACAGAACACAAGCCATGGAATCCAGCTGTTTGTTTTTGAGGCAGATCTCACTATATATCTTAGGCTAACCTCAAATTTATGATCCTACTGCCTCTCCTTCTTGAGTGCTGGGATTACAAGCATTGGCCACCACATAATAATAACCTAAAAACTTAAGATGCAAGAAGCAGAAGTCAGTATGGATATGTGACATTGTACTCATTTGCCAGTGCCTTGCTTCCAATGAAACACTCCACATACCTTCTTCAGTGAGGTGGGCTTCTTGGCCTTGGGGACCTCCCTCTGCTTCCCCTTCTTCATCAAGGGGGCACTAGAATCTAGAGGGTTGTGCGGAGTCTTCACCTGATTGAAGCGGTGGTTTCTCTCCCCCGAGGTAGCTCCTTTGGAAAGGACTGGCACAGCTCCAACTGTAGCATGGTGGGACATATGTCACATGGTCACTTTCCAATGGCCCTGACCAGCTCTCCATACTGTCTGTCCAGGATATTTGACGGAGTCTCCCATGCCTCCCCAGCCAGACCCCATAACTTTTCTTATCTCTGCCAAGCAATCTCTCACACATTCTTCTCACTGACAATGATTCCAAATGAAATTTATTACCTTTTGGATGAGATCTCAAATCTATCAATTACTTCAGAAAGATGTAAACTTTACCCATATAGTCAAATCTGCTGACTCCCAGTAAGTCTAATAATGTATGGATCTCATGTTTTGACCAGGGACCACTGCTGTGGGAAATCAGCACTGCCTTTGCAGAAACTGGTATTGCTTTCCACACATGCGCCTTCTATCAAGCTATCTTACAAGGCCCTTATACAACTCCAGTAATATTTCTATTTGATTCTCTTCAGTTTTCTGGATATAAGCTGGTTTCCCAATCTCACCATAGGCAGCATGGTGTAATCAATCTCTCCACCTGACTCAACACTAACTCTCCTGAACACCCTACTTCTCATCTTAGTAACTCTATAGAGGAAAAAAATTCTGTCTTTTCCAAAACTTCCATTTTTGTTTTTTTGAGAAAAGGTCTCCCTATGTAGCCCAAACCTAGCCTCAAACTAGTGATTCTCCTATCTATCTTCCAAGTGCTAAAATGACAGAAGCACATCCTGTTCTCTGCTTTTCGATTAAGAAAATTTCCAAGCAGATGCCAAAGGGAATGCTACACCACAAATCCCCATGAACCCTTCATCGTATTTCAACAACCATCTATCTGTTTCCAATATATTTTAGTCACCTTCTTTTAATAACACAATATGGAGTCTTATAATACATGCTTTGTCTCTCAGATCTGCCTCTTCAATCTCATTTATGCAATCCCCCTACTTCAGGACAAAGCATTCACTTACACAGCTGTCCAAGACAATTCTACCTGCATTTGAGACTGCTTCTCACCTAAGCTAAGCACAGCTGCTTACATCTACAGAGCCTCATTCCAGTGTTTAAAACACACACGTAAGTACAACAGCCCTGCTTACATCTGCTTATTCACCTCGTACCCAATGCCACCATCAAGATCAGCCCTTCATATGGGCAAAACCTTCACCTGGATTCTCAGCTCTGCAGCTCCTATTCCCTACTGTCAGGCAGTTCTGGGCAGAGCAGCCACAGTGGACTCTGGAATCTTTGCTCCCACAGCAGTGAGGCTGATCTCTTCCTCAAAGTAGTTACAAAGGTAGTTACAACTGCCCAAAGCAATCCTATCAGCCTCTAGCAAAATCAAGAAAGACTTAGAGCAGCACAAGAGCCTAATCATTCCATTCAAGTTGGATGTATAACTTCCCACTGGGACTGTGGTACCAGGAATAGCCTGCCTCTTTGGTAGGCCAAGTATAGTTCAGCTTGCATAAAGTCATCTTTGTCCTATCTAATACATGTGCCTGTATTTGTGACCCAAATTACGTAGTCTGGCTACTGCCCAGGACCATATTGTTGCATTGTCTCCCAATATATTGCACTTTAATCTCCAGTAACAAAACCCACAATCCACCCCAGGTAGGATAATAGGTCACACCTGGACACACTGTAAAAAACTAGATTATAAGCAGTAGAGTAACCATTTAGAAAATAATTTTTAAAACTGAAGTTTAAAAAAAACAACACTCTATGCCTTGAGTCCATGAGGCCCTGGTTTTGATTCCTCAGCACCACTTAAGCAGAAATAGCCAGAAGTGGCACTGTGGCTCAAGTGGTAGAGCACTTACTTTCCAGCTGAAGAGCTCAGGAACAGTGCCCAGGCCCAGAGCTCAGGCCCCATGACTGACCAAAAAAAGCACTCTAAAGACACTCATTATAAAAGACAATGGGAGAAAAAAACAAATGAAATAAAAAAAAATCCTTAATAGCAGATGGGAAAATAACATCAACACATATTAAATATTAAAAAACAAAATACTCCTCTCAAAAGGGAGACTCCCAGACTAGATTCAAAAACAAAACATCTCAGAGCTAAAGACTGGTAGGTAGCTGTTGTTATTTTTCCTTATGCTAAGGTAAGCACATCTCTCCTCTCATTAACTTACGAACCAGCTGGAAAACTGGACTTGAGCTGGGAGCAGGCAGAAACTCCTAGACGGCCCCAGATTTATTGTCTAGCTAGTTTTGCCCAGGGATGCATGACACTAAAGTCAGTTAACAATAACCAAGAACCTGAATTCCAGCCCAGCGTCAGAAGCTCACACCTATAATTCCAGCTACTCAGGAGGCTGAGATCCGAGGATCTCAGTTAAAAGTCATCCCCAATAGGAAAGTCCGTGAGACTCTTATCGCAAATTAACCACCAAGAAGGCCAGATGTGGAGTTGTGGCTCAAGTGACAGAGCACTAGCCTTGGGCACAAAAGCTCAGGGACAACACCAAAGCCCTAAGTTCAAACTTCAGGATACACACACACACACACACACACACACACACACACTCTGAATTACATTTTTCTACACACACACACACACACTCTGAATTACATTCTTCTACACACACACACCCTGATTTACGTTTTTCTACACACACACACACCCTGATTTACATTTTTACACACACACACACACACACACACCCTGAATTAAGTTTTTCGAATTTTAACTTTTCCTGTGAAGGACGTTTCCAGGGGAGTCCTGATTTACGTTTTTACACACACACACACACACACCCTGAATTAAGTTTTTCGAATTTTCCAGGGGAGTCCTGATTTACGTTTTTACACACACACACACACACACACACACCCTGAATTAAGTTTTTCGAATTTTAACTTTTCCTGTGAAGGATGTTTCCAGGGGAGTCCTAAAGGGAAGGCAGTATGCAGTCAGGATGTGGGCACACTTGGCATCTCTAGCCAAAATACCTCAATGCTGTCAAAATCCTAGCTGCAACTGATTCTTTTAAACTATCTAAAAACCAATTGTGAATGATGGCTCCCATTCTGCTAATTATTTCACATTGTGACATGTCCAACTTGAGCCTAAAAAGATCACCTTTAGAGAAGACCTACTCCTTTCCTCGTTTTTTTAGTACTTCGTCTTGGTCAATAGTTTACACCTGCAGTAACAGGCATCAGATGCAACTGTAACAAGTTTGACTGCCTCACAGACACTGGGCTCCATGGCATCTCCATGTTCTACTCCAGACCTGGGCCCTAGGAAATGACCTACTGTGCTGCTTGAGAAGCATTGTTCCCAATGGTGTGCAATGTCAATGTACAGGAACAAAAGAAAGCAGGACAAGCAGAAATAGATACAATGTAAAACAGCACCGAAAAGTATAAAACCAACCTTGGCTCTAGCTCTGCTTTCTATTCCTAGGCATACATAGGCTCTAAGCTTCAGAGATAACCTTGATTATCAATGGCTCTTCCTCTATCTTCTGCTCCTCATGATTTAACACTTCCAGTAAGAGGGCTGTTGTCACTGGTGTGGCAACCCCTCTTCAACTTTCAACTACTCAACAACAAAGACTCTGTGGTACACCACCAGTATCATGCAAGTTTCCTACAGGTTCCCCAGGAAACTTGCTGTAATATCAGTGTTTGGAAGAACACTCTCCAGACTTTACTGAGGGCTACAGAGGCTACTCAAAACACCTGCTCTGAGAGTTCTCAAAGTTAAGGCCATTTCTGCTATAATACAAGAGGGAATTCCAAAGCTAGCTACTGAGGAAAAGCTGCTTTTGCTCATAGGTAAAAGAGTATCAACACTTAGTAAAGCCTCTGGATTGCTCTGTAAACACTGATACAAAATGGTATCACTCTAGGCTTTTATCAAACTTAGAGGTTATTTTTAGGGAAGATTGCCTATTAAGCCTCAATGTAAGGATTAATCAGACGTATGATGTATGAAACTGAATCTTACTATGAATACTGCCCAAATTCATGAGGTAATCAAGGAAGTTTTAAAACATACTTGAACCATTTTTCAGAATCTTTAAAGTTTAGGAATATTTGAATAGACTGTACCTGAATTATCAGAGGGGATGACAACAGGGTTTAGTTTTGTTTTTTTTTTAAATTAATACAGGAGACACATATTGAGGTATTTATAGGTAAAATGATAACTACAAGTTGCTCTAAAATCCTTAAGAAAATGAAGGATTTCAGATGATGTAAGACTGGCAACATGGTCAATGTTGTTGGCTGATGGTACTGACTGAAGAGTTCATAATATTCCTTCTACTTACAATTTTTCATAATAAAAAGCGGAAAATAGTTAATACTAACAAAGTGGTGCTTTATGTAGTTTTGATAGGCATTTCCTTGATCACTGATAATGTTGACTATATTTCCATGTGTTCATTGGTAAGGTTTTTCTTTTTTTTGGGGGGGGGAGGCGTTGTTTTTTATATGCAGCACTAGGAACTGAACTCAACACCTCCTGCTTGCTAGGCAAATGCTCTTATCATTTGAGCCTCAACCCTACTCCTTTTGCTTTTAGTTTGTTTTCCAGAAACAGACTTGCATTATCTTTATCCAGGCTGACCCCAACCACTATCCTCCTACCTCCTGCCTTCTGCTTGTCTGGGATTACAGATGTATATTATCATATCAATCTGTTTTTTTGAGACAAGATCTCACTGTATAGCCAAAGCTGGCCAGGAACTTGCAATGTTCCTGCCTCTACCTTCTGAATGCTGGAATTATGAGTGCTAGTCACTTATGTCTTTTATGAAGAGTTGATTTTCAAATACTTTTTTTTTTTTTTTGTCGGTTGTGGGGGCTGAGCACTGTCCCTCAGCTCTTCAGCTTCTGCTCAAGATAAGCACTCTACCACTTGAGCCACAGCACCACTTCCGGTTTTCTGGTGGTTTACTGGAGATAAGAGTCTCATGAACTTTCCTGCCCAGCCTGGCTTTGAACCACAATCCTCATATCTCAGCCTCCTGAGTAATTAGGATTACAGGCATGAGCCACTGGTTCCAGGCTTCAAATCCTTTTTTGCTATTTTAATTAAGACTGTCTTTGATGCTAATTTTACGTATATATCTGAATAATGTATTACTCCTAAACATTTGAAGGTTTTAGTTTTTAACCATTTTGGTTTCATTTTCAGCTACAGTATGAGGTATAGGGTCTAACTTTACTATTTAGCGCCTAGAAAATCCATTTGTCCAGTTCTTTCTGAAGAGCCACTATTATTTATTTTAATGGACCCAACATTCTTGCCAAAATTCAACCAGTTACCAGGAGCCAGTGGCTCACATCTACAATCCTAGCTTTTCAGGAGACAGAGATCTGAGGAATACAGTATGAAGCCATTCTGGGCAGTAAAGTCCATACACTTTTATCTCCAATTAGCCACCAAAAAAGTGGAGGTGTAGCTCAAGTGATATAGAACCCTAACTTTGCAAAAAAGCCTAGGAAGTCCACATTCTGAGTTCAAGCCCTGTACCAGCACAGAAAAAAAATAATAAATAAAAAATAACTGAAGCAACTGGCTGGTATATTTGGGTTTATTTGTATACTCTCAATTCTACTCCATTAGCCCATGTCTATGTTTATTCCAATACTACACTTGTTGCAATGATAAATAACTTTTCACTGTAAGAGACAATATTTAGTAGGAGAAAAACAAAGAAGGGGCTAACAATGTTCGACAAGAAATGTACTCATTACCTTACTAATGTAACTTTAACCCCTCTGTATAACAGCATCTTTACAATAAAATAATTTTTTTTAAAAGACAATATTTACAAAATGAAACCTCTGAAAAAAGTTTTGAGCCCTGGTCAAAACAAGAATATACCTACCTGAGAACACAACTGGTCTGGAGGACTGCTTGGCATTCTGGGCATGCTGTTTCTTTTCCAGTGCTGCCAACATGCCCCCTAAATCCAACTGCACTGGAATCTGGCTCTTCTTTCCACTGTTTTTAAAATTATTCTAGAAAGTTCAAAAACCACAGGTTTACTTGTAATACTATGTTTTACAAAATGAGATTTTCATTTTACAAAAACTGCATATAAAGATAAAATGAACATATGTAAGAGACTACAAGAGTTAAAAAAATTTTTTTGGGGGGGGGGAGGGGTCTGGTCGTGGGGCCTGAACTCTGGGCCTGGGTACTGTCCCTGAGCTCTTCAGCTCAAGGCTAGCACTTTATCACTTGAGCCACAGCACCACTTCTGGCCTTTTCTGCTTATGTGGTGCTGAGGAATCGAACTCAGGGCCTCATGCATGCAAGGCAAGCGCTCTACCACTGAGCCACCTTCCCAGCCCAAGAGTTAAAATTTTTTTTAAATCAACTTAAGTCAGAACAATCTCACAGTGTCAGACAACACTACTGTGGTTGGTTCTGAACCTCCTCATTTAGAGCACTAGGTTTATATAAAGTCATCTACATCTCTTTCTACTTCTCTAGTGAGTTATTGGCAGACAAGACACTGAGGCAAATAAAAGTTTGTCAGGTGACTTGACTAGAATTGCTGCCTCACTTGCATCATTCTCTCTCCAACTGCCTAAAATGAGCCAATAAACTGTAATGAAAATTTTGGATATAAACAAAAGTCTATGTATACCCAAATCACACACTTAGCAAATGAATACTACATATAGGTCTCTCTTACTTTTCTAAGTAAATGTTAAGAGCTGTGATTTGAGTTTTGAAAATGCGTAAAGCTATACCAAAAAAGCACAATTACTGGTTCTAAGGCATTCAGTGCTTCTACTCTCATACCCACTCTCCTGCCACCCATTCTTTTCCTGTCACCTGGGCACAAAAAACAAAACAAAACAAAACAACAAAGAACTTTCTAAAGAATGGCCCAAATGGAAGTGGCTCAAGTGTTAGAGCACTCACCCTGAAGAGCTCAGGAATACTGCCCAGGCCCAGAGCCCAGAGTTCAAGCTCCATGACTGACCCAAAAAAATAAAAATAAAATAAAAAAAAAAATATATATATATATATATATATTAAAGGGTAACCCATAATTATAGCTGGGCACCAGTGGCTCACACCTATAATCCTAGCTACTCAGGAGACTGAGATCTGAGGATCACGGTTCAAAGCCAGCCCAAGCAGGAAAATCTGTGAGACTCTTATCTCCAATAAACCACTCAGGAAACAGGAAATGGCATTGTGGCGCAAGTGGTAGAAGAGCTGAAGAGCTGTGGGACAGTGCTCAGGCCCAAAGTTCAAGCCCTACAACTGACAAAAAAACAACAACAAAAGAATGGCCCAAGTACGCAAGTTCCCCATTGGAATTATGAACTACAACTCCAACCTGAATCTATGGGATCAAGAAGAATCACTTCCTCTTTGGCTTTTGTATTGATACTTGAGATTTTTTTTGCCTCATATTTTTCTTATGTAACATACTACTGGCCTTGAAAATAAATTCTTCCCTTTCCTGAATGAACAGTCAACTTTTCCCCCTCCTTTTTTTTTTTTTAATTTTTCTATTGTGAAAATACCGTACAGAGGGGTTACAATTACATGGGCAAGGTGATGAGTACATTTCTTATCAAGCATTGTTTCCTCCTCCTTTGTTTCCCCTTCCCATACCTTCCCATCTCCTCCTCTCCCCCCTCCACCCCACCCAGCCAAAGTTGTAAAGTTTGTTTTTCAACATAACAACTTGTACATCTCATTGTCGCAATGGGTCCACCTGTATCCCTATTTAAACGGTTTGTTTTTGCCCTTCCCCTCCAAAAATTATACCAACATCAAATACAAGGAAAGCAGGGGTTATACTGTGGGGGAGGGACTCCCCCTCCTTTCTGACTCAACTCAGGAAGCAATTCTCAAGGGAAGGCAGAGATCAAGACAAAACCAACTGTATCACAGTAAACAAAAATAATTGAAAAGTAGGTTTTATTAATAATTTAGTGAGAAAAATCTAACAATTACCTGTGGCTGCTGTTTAGACTGAAATTTCAATGTCTCTACTTTGTCTCTTCTTTCAGATGCAACTGTCAGGTTGGGAAATTCTTCAGCATCCTAAGCAAACCACACATTTTTAGTTCTTTATTCATTCAGAGAATGCAAATACATTAAGTGCAATTTCCCTAGCGTATAATTTTCTTTACTATGATCCACAGAAATTTAAAGTTGACATAAAACATGCCCAAAATACTACCATTAGAGCTTCTGCTTTAAATCTTGTCCAATAAAAGGTAGAGTAGCAAAGGATCATGGTTTACCCGAAAGAGCCTACAGAACTGATCTTGAACTTCAAAGGCAATGTTTTTAAAGACTGGGGCATGCCTCAATTGACAGAGTGCCTGTACAGAAAATACCAGGTCTTTTTTTTGGGGGGGAGAGGTGGGGAGGCGCAGTGGCTCACATCTGTAATCCTAGCTACTCAGGAAGCTGAGATCTGAGGATCCCGGTTCCTACCTAGGCTGGAAAGTCTGTAAGACTCTTACCTCCAATAAACCACAAGAAAACTGGAAGTGGCACTGTAGCTCAAGGGGCAAAGCACTAACCTTGAGCTGAAGAGCTGAGGGACAGCACCTAGGCCCACAGTTCAAGCCCCATGACCCAAAAAACAAAACAAAACAAAAAACAGGGCTGGGAAGGTAGCTCAGTGGTAGAGTGCTTGCCTTGCATGCATGAGGCCCTGAGTTCGATTCCTCAGCACCACATAAGCAGAAAAGGCCAGAAGTGGTGCTGTGGCTCAAGTGATAAAGTGCTAGCCTTGAGCTGAAGAGCTCAGGGACAGTACCCAGGCCCAGAGTTCAGGCCCCACAACCGACCAAAAAACAAACAAACAAAAAAAGGAAATATCAGGCCTTGAGTTAAAAAAAAAAAAAGTATCAGCCAGGCAGCAATGGCTCATTACTGATGGTTCACACCTATAATTCTAGCACCTCAGAGACTGAGATCTGAAGTTGTGGTTCAAAGCTGGCCCAGGCTGAAAAGTCTGACACTCTTATCTTTAGCCTGCAAAAATGCTGAACAGGAGGTATGGCTCTGGTGTTACCAAGCCATGAGAATAAAAAGTCAATAGAGAATGAGAGATACCAAGCTTAAACCTCAGTACCAGAAAAACAAAAACACTTAAAAAATAACGTGGGTCTTTTTGTCAAGATTTTGTCATCCTATCAGATAAATACCTTAGGGAAAGTTATATATGAAATAGAGGCAGAAACACGAATTACTCATCAACCCTAACCATTGATATCAAATAGATACCCTGCAAGAACTTTTAGAAACATTCTTCCAAGTTTGTGGGAACACCCTGGGTTTGATCCTAGGATGTACACCTGGGCAGCACTTCTATGAAGTGCTACAGAAGCATCCAGGAACCTGCCTCAGGCAAGGCAGCATGAAAAATACAACAAGACCTGTGAGAAATGTAGTCGGACGTTGGCTGATTTACAAAATGCATCATTACTAGATGTCCTAGAAAACAAAGAGTACTTTTGGAGGAAGTTCATGTAATTCTCCAAACTGGAGTCCATAACAGATTTATAACATTCTAAGTCTCTCTATATATAGTGAAGCATTTTACAACAAGACAATCTGGCTAGAAAAGGATAATACTGCAAAAGAGAGTATCCTAAAGCAGAGGAGAAAACTAAGGAGAAATATGAGTAACAAGCAACAGCAGCTATTAAATTCAATACAAGCAGTTTTGTCTACCAATCATTCATTCAAATGTTTACTAAGTGTCTACCATAAGACACCTGGGAAGTCAAAAGGTGAAGACAGTAAGTTACTATTTTCTTTAGTATTAGAAGAGGATTATTGAAGAAAATGTTAAACGTTTAGGAAACCAGTATGCATTCATGTGTCCAAATTTAACACAAAATGAGTAATATAAATACAAATGTACTTCAATCCTCGGTGGCTCTTGAACTGTCAAGATTTCATAGTTTGATTTAGACTTTTCTTTCTTTTTCTTATTCTTTCTGGAAGCTTCTTTCTTTTCAAGGTCATCACCTTGTGATGCTTTAGACTAGAAAAATAAAAGCAAAATTAGTGAGATTTTAGAGCACTCAATAGAATCTTCACTATTATGTTTTAGATACCAATTGTAGGTGCTAAAATTAAGATGATCAGTCCCATGGCAACTGTAGTCAAAATAAGGCTTCTCTTCCCCTACTTCTAAAAAGCTACTGTTCACACAGTAGAACAATTCTGAAAAGAAAAACATCTGGTACTACCACATGGATTGCTCAATTCCTTCTGAAATCTGGTGGCTGGATATGTCTAAACTTTCACCTTGAAGCGATCAGGCAACAATCAGTAGTACCAACCTCTGTTCTCTCACACATCATGCCACTACTGTCAGTACATCAAGAAGGTACCCCTGATCTGTCTATGAACAGAATCACCCTAAAGCATCTGATCAGACTCAAGTCTAGTCCCCAATTAAACTGAACTTGCCACTCCCATAGGCCCTTCAAATCAAGCCCTTTCCTAGTAAGGGCAGATGTGTTGTGTCCTCAGGGCCTTTGCAGCTAACACCCACACAGGGCTAAATCTGCTCCCTCCCTGTGCCAAGTTACCTCATTTCCAGCAAGCTCCTCCCTCTCTGTGGGCCTCTCCCTCTGAGCGAGCTTGCCTGGTTTTTTCTTAAGAGTACTCACCACTCTTGAACTATTCTAAATCTGTGCATCTGTTAAGTTTTTCTCTATTACATTAGGATCTTGATCTAAAAGGGCTAGGCCTTGTTAAGTTTGAGTCTTCCTTTCCTCACCCAGAAAGGGGGGGATAAATTCCCCCCAGGTTCAGTAGGTATAAAAAGAATGAGTTTTCTCCATGACCTAGAAGAGCTAATCCAGTTTCTTAAGTGAAAATGTCTTTTCTTAAAAGAAAAGACAAATGTTAAGGATGTCTATAGAGTGATCATATTTTGTTTTAAAGAATTAGAAATTTTGGGGCTGGGAATGTGGCTTAGTGCTACAGTGTTTGTGTAGCATGTGTGAATCCCAGGGTTTGATTCCTCAGTACTACAAAAACAGAAAAAGCGGGACTGGCGCTGTGGCTCAAGTGGTAGAGTACTAGCCTTGAGCAAAAGCAGCTCAGGGACAGTGCCCAGGCCCTGAGTTCAAGTCCCAGAACTGGCAAAAAAAAAAAAAGAATTAGAAAAATTAGCCGAGTATCTGTGGATTTCATCTATATTCCTACCTACTTAGGAGGCTGAGACATAAGGATCACAAATTGAAGCCAGCCTGCAAGAGAAAGCCCATGAGAATCTTATTTCCAATTAACCACCAAAAAGCTAGTAATGGAACTGTGGCTCAAGCGGTAGTACACTAGCCTTGAGCAAAACAGCTCAGGGACAGCACTTAGGCCCTTAGTTCAACCTCCAGTACAAGCACCAAAAAACAAAAGAAAAAATTACAAAAACATGGCTGTAGAGCACAGCCTAGCATACTAAAAGCCACAGGTTCCATCTCTGATCTACAGGAAAAAACAATAAAAAGCTAGAGGGAGATAGGTAAAAACATAAAAGAAATTTAGAAAAGCAAAACAGAACTCCCTGTCCTATCAATCTGTTGTATTTTCATAAGTGTGAGGAAGAACATATAGATGTATAGTAAACTGCTAATGCAGGCTTTCCTGAGGGTTAGCAATCAAGAGGCATAGGGAGATCTGGGAGGCTGGGGATCTGGGTTCAAGTCCCAGCACCAAAGTAAAACAAAAACCCTTATAGTGTTATTTGTCATTTATGCAAAAAAAATTAACAGTAGAGTTTTAAAAAAATAAGCCAGGGGCTAAGAAGGTGGCTCAGTGGTAGAGTGCTTGCCTTGCATGCATGAGGCCCTGGGTTCGATTCCTCAGCACCATATAAGCAAAAAGAAAAAAGCCAGAAGTGGCGCTGTGGCTCAAGTGGTAGAGCGCTAGCTTTGGGCTGAAGAGCTGAGGGACAGCACCCAGGCCCAGAGTTCAGGCCCCACAACCAGACCCCCAAAAAATAAAAAATTTAAAAAAATAAAAGAATAAGCCATTATGGTTTTATTCCAATTGTATGTAAAGACATCTGGATTATGAGAGATCTTCATATTCTTATTTTAGAATTTTCCTAAAACACTTTCCTTATACCTATAAAATTTCTTTTAAAGATTCTAAGAAATAGAGTGAAGCCTGTTAATTCTCTAGGTATTAGGAAACTGGACAACAACTGGGAAGTCTCAACTAAAGAACTAGGCAGAGGGCTTTTGTTACTGTCTGTACTCAGTCACTGATGCACAGAGTTCTCAACACAGAGTAGTGTGAACAAACACATCTTACTTTGCTGTACTTTCCCTGGATTACAGAATCAAACACATACCTATGGCTACCATACCAATGGATACCAAAAAGCATTTCCTTGCTCAAATGGATTGCACATGCTACACTAAAGATATACCATATTTCAATCTAATGCATCCACCTAACATGAAATTCAAGAATATGTAGACTGGGACTGAGAGTGTAGCTCTGTGTTAGAGTACTTGCCTCGGTAGGTGAGACCCTAGATTCAATCTCCAGCTTCATAAAAAAATAATAAAATGAAATTTAAAAATCAGAAAAATTAGAAGTTTAAAAAACCAGTTGGGCACCATTGGCTCATGCCTGTTAACCCTAGGCTGAGATCTGAGGATCGCAGTTCAAAGCCAGCCCAGGCAGAAAAACCCCTGTGAGACTCTTGTCTCCAATTAACTAGTCAAAAACTGGAAGTGGTGCTGTGGTCAAGAGGTACAGCTCTCGTCTTGAGCACAAAGAGGCACAGGGACAGCACCCAGGCATTGAATTCAAGCCCTACAACAGGGGAAAAAAATTTTAAAAAGCGAACAAAGAAATAAATCAACAAAGGCTATTAAAATAGATTCAGAGATTGATAAAATACCATCTAAAACTACTTAAATGTTCCAGGCGCCAGTAGCTCACACCTGTAATCCTAATCAGGAGGTTGTGACCTGAGGTTCATGGTTTGAAGCAAACTCGGGAAGAAAGTCCGTAAGAATCTTATATCTGATTAACAAAACAAAATTTGGAACTGGAACTATGGCTCAAGTGGTAGAGTACCAGCCTTGGGTGAAAAAGCTAAGGAACCATGCCTAGTTCCTGAGTTCAAGCCCCAGTATCAGCACAAAATAAGATGTAATACATATTACATATCTTATAATGTATATTAATATATGTTAATCTACCCCAGTATGCTATCCCTTAACAGGTAAATGAACTGCAATTAATTAAAAATCAAAACCATATGCCAGGTGATCATAAAATATGGAAGTCAATTATTTTGCTGAACTCTACTGGGATAATCATTCAAATTCAATGACAAGAGACTGGGACAAAAGATGCAGCAATTTTTTTACACACCAGAGCATAATTTTCTGCCATCATTTCTTCCTTAAAGCAGTCTAGAGCTGGGGGGGAGGGTAGCAAATGTAAGAACCTGGGCTTGATTCACAGCACAACCAAAAAAATTCAAAAATAGTTTATGGACCCTTTTTAAGTCTAAATGTACATTATCACTCATACAAAAACTATCTCCTGTAATGGTGACTTAAAGACTAATATCCTATGCTTTCTTTTTAAGGTGCGAAGTACTAACTAGACAGTACCGAATAGAATGAAGTACCATCCAAGTTAGGATTTAGACAGAGGAGAGACTGCAGAAGGTCAACATAATAAAATAAAAAGGTGTGTTTTTTTTTCTTGTTTGTTTACTATGGTACAGTAAACCTAACATAAAATCTACCATGTTGCCATGTTAGTTCAGAAGCAAGGAATACATGTGCAGCCATTGCTACTCTCCACCTCTAGAGTTTTTTTGTCTTGGACAGTTGAACTCTGTCCCCATAAAACATGCATTAGCATTTTTCTCCCCCAGCTCCTGGCACCTACCACCTTACTTTCTATCTCTAGTAATGCATACCTTTTTAGCAGGATGATTATGTTTCTCTTTGTTGTAGGAAGGATCTGAAGATAAAACTTCAGATGTCATACTAACATTTTTAGGATCTGTTGATGAAGCAACTGTCTTCAGGTTCATCATGGAAGCAGCATTTTTAGGAGCTGATGATGGCTCTGAAGATAGTGTCTGCCGAACAATGTAACCCATTGGTGTCCAAGATAACTCTGCTCAATGATAACCAAAATTGTTGAACAATCTTAACAGTAAAATAGAAATTTTCTAATTACTCTAACATGCATTACATAAGGAAATGGCTCAGAGCATAACTAAAATTGGACTATTTGCAAAATATCCCCTAGGAAACTACAGACCACTAAACTCTTTTTTCTGGGAGCATGCATGCTGAATTTCTTTCCCCCTTAACTTGTATGGTTAATTTTCTTAGAAACTGGCTTTGTAACTTGGGAGAGAGGGTATGCATGTTGGCAGACAAACAATAATTTTAGTTAAAGAACAACAATCCACAGTAACGTCCACATGGTAAACACACGGAATTAAAAAGCTAAAGATCAAATTTTGTCCCTACTAACCTTGATGTGTACCTTTAACATCAGAAGTCAAAGATCACTAGACTTCAGCTACCACAATAACTGGTAATTTATTTCTTTTAGAACACAGGTATAAGTACAGCAACACTACTCCTTAGGTGCCCATGAAACTCTATATATAGACAAAACAAAAGGACATCTATCAGGACATGGGCAGATGAACACCTGTCAGCAGCCTTTGGCACTCCCATTATAGAGCTACAAGTCATCAAAGCTTTGATGGGAGTGAAGAGCTACACTGAAGTACATTTTGTACCAAACTGAAAACACCAAAGAAAGCACACACCAAGGAATAAAGTTGAATTTTCTGCTAGGACAAGCTACTATAAAAATTTCAAAAGTAGGCTGGGAATGTGGCTTAGTGCTTGTCTAGCATACATAAAGCCTGGCTGGGTTCGATTCCTCAGTACCACATAAACAGAAAAAGCCAGAAGTGGAGCTGTGGCTCAAGACATAGAGTACTATCCTTGAGCAAAAGAAGCTCAGGGATAGTGTCCAGGCCCTGAGTTCAAGCCCCAGGACTGGCAAAAAAAAAAAAAAATTCAAAAGTAAAATCAAGTGAATTCTTCCTGAATATAATACTTCCTGGCCAGGATTCTCTGACAGTGTTTGCTGCCTTACTTTCCTGATGAATTTCTCACTCCTTTGTACCATGTTTTTCCGAAGACTACCTGATGTTCATGACAGTACAGTAACAAAATACCAAAGCAGATCTGCAAGGTTGCAAGGTAATATGCTGCAAAGAACTGGGCACTGGTGGCTCATGCCTGTAATCCTAGCTACTCAGGAAGCTGAGATATGAGGATCACAGTTTAAAGCCAGCCCCAGCAGGAAAGTCTATGAGACTCATCCCCGATTAACCACCAGAAAAATCGAAGTAGAACTGTGGCTTAAAGTGGTAGAACACTAGCCTTGAGGGAAAAGCTCAGGGACAGCACTCAGGCACCAAGTTCAAGCCCAACGACTGACAAAAGAAAAAAAAGCAATAAAGACTGCTCTCACTAGTTTTTAAATCTTAGAAAAGCATTATTTTTCACAAAGACATGTTATATTCAAATGTAATGCACATATTATCATGTGAGTACTGAATAATTTTGTTTAAAGGCCTGAGGAGGTACTAAGACCAACTTCTGAAAATAGATAATACTGCAGGAAGTAGCCATTTCTGAATTCATAAAATTCTCACTTATGGACTTACCCTTCATTTAGAATTCTGATCTCTTACTTTATTCTTTTTGTGCATGAGTCTGGGATCTCATTCAATTTTCTAAACTAACACTGACAGTTTGCCCACAATTAATTAGCTACCTTAAAGAAGGCTTTCAAACAAAAGTTATTTAACTACACTAGAGTTAAAAATGAGCTCTGAGAATATATTGACTCATTTTTAAAAAATATTTTTGTGGCACTCTTACCTCCTGCGCATGAAGGGGAATTCGTAGCAGCAGCAGTTACAGGTTTGTCTGGATTGTTTTTCACCACTACTTCACCCTTAAAAAAAAAAGTAAGGGTTGGAGGTGTGGTTCGGGTGATAGTGCAACAGCCAATGAATAACAGCATCAGAGAAAGAGTTCGCATCCCAGTCTCAGACAAAAATAAAATGTTATTGGGGAAATGCAAATTACAACAATCATGAAGTACCACTACAAATCTTAGAATGGCCAAAATACAGATGAACACTGACATCACTGGACAATGGAAGAGAAGGGGTACTGCAGATGAGAATGCAAAATGGTACAGGCACTCTGACAGACAGCTGGCAATTTCTTACAAGTGAGCTAACAAGCCTTGAAAACATATGGGTTGTGTTAAAAGAATATTCCTAAGAGAATTCAGAAGCCAGTCAGAAAGGACCCTATATTAAATGACTCCAACATTCTAGAAAAGGCAAAACTGTGAAGAAAAACCCCCCACAAAATTGGTCACTGAAAGCACTGGGGAAGCTACATGGATGTTCAGGGCAGTGATATGACTTCTATAGGATAGTAGAATGATGATACATATCATTGTACACTTGTCTAAATCCACAAAATGTATACCACCAACAGTGGACCCTAAATTATGACCTATAGATGATAATGACAAGTCCATGAAGGTTCATCAATTGTAACAACTAACATCATGGGACACTGGGTGGGGTGTAGGGTGGGAAAAGAGGTATACAGTTGCCCTTGCTTTTCTTAAAATCTGAAAACATGGTAAATAGAAATTATAAATACACAAGTACATAATATGGAAAGCTACATTACTCTTTTCCATCAAATCTCACTCAGTATATACAACTTAGATAATATCCTTTTACTAGCCAGGAGCTGGTGGCTCACACCTGTAACCCTACATACTCAGGAAGCTGTGATTTCAGGATCCCTGTTCAAAGCCAGCTCAGACAGCAAATTCAAGTCCATGAGACTCTTATCTCCTGAAAGCCAGAAGTGGCTCTGTGGCTCAAGTGGTAGAGTTCTCGCCTTGAGCTGAAGAGCTCAGAGAAAGCATCCAGGCCCAGAGTTCAAGTCCCACAACGGACAAAAAATAATAGTAGTAATAATAGTATCCTTTTATGTTGCCAATGATATAAATGTAGATTGTTTCTACATACTTATGCAGGTTGTTTTTGTGTTTTTTTTTTACTTCTTGAAACAAGGTCTCATTATGTAGCCTAGGCTGGCCTTCAATTTTTAATCTTCCTGTCTCATTCTCCCAAGTGCTAGGATTAGAGGCATGTGCCATCATGCTCACACTTGTTAGGATTACAGGCATGTGCCATCATGCTCACACTTGTGCAACATTTGAAAGGCTAATGTGCAACTTTTGAAAAACAATTTCAGCTGGAGGCGTAGCTCAAACAGTAAAGCACTTGCCTATCAGTGGAACACTGGGTTCATTCCTCAGCACTCAAAAAAACCAAAAAACAAAAAAGAAATAATAGGAAGCCAACTTCAAGCAACTATATTTTCTTATACATAATTCCAGATAGGGAGGCAAATCACAAGTAACTCATTTTCCATAAAAAAGATGAACAAAGCCCACAACATTCCTATTTATTTATTTTGTCGGTCATGGGGCTTGAACTCTGGGCTTGGGTGCTGTCCCTACGCTCTTCAGCTCAAGGCCAATGCTCTACCGCTTGAGCCACAGCACCACTTCCAGTTTTCTGGTGGTTTATTGGAGATGAGTCTCACGGACTTTCCTGCCCAGGCTGGCTTTGAACTGTGATCCTCAGATCTCAGCCTCCTGAGTAACTAGGATTACAGGTGTGAGCCACTGGCACCCAGCAACATTCCTATTTAATAGGTGACTTTGACATAGCAAGTCAGTCATGCTTCTGCTTTCCCATGAGTGCCCATTGAAGCAGCTGGCCCAGCACTCTGCACTCTTCTGTGTGGTGCTCACATAAAGTCCATTCAGCCACTGAACATCCTAGCACAGGGCAAGAAGCAGCTACAACCTATGGTAGACTGCAATTTTCATTCAACCCTCAGCAAAATGAAAGCACCAATTAGGGTAACTTTTACTTAATCCACTGTGTTATTACAAGACAAAGATATATTTTGTCAGGTGCTGTGGCTCACATCTTTAATTCTAGCTACTCAAAGAGGCCAAAATCTGAGGATAATGGTTCAAAGTCAGCCAGGGCAGGAAAGTCCAAGACTTACCTCCAATAAACTACCCTCCCACCCCCGCAAAAAAAAAAAAAAAAAAGTGGAGCAAGCTATGTCTCAAGTGGTAGAAAAAAAAATAAGCTCAGGAATAGCACCCAGACCCTGAGTTCAAGCCCCAGGACTAGTACAAAAAACAAATAAATAAATAAATAGAGATATAATTAAAAAGTTGAGAACAACTCAGAAGTTCCATCATGCAGTTTTAAATATTTCTTCAAGTCTTTTCCTCTGTATTAGAAAAAATACTGTCAGGATATAATGCTGGAAATACCATGTTTAAAACAGACTGTCAAAGAACCCAGACTGAAAGAATCTTCTCTTTCTGCAGCACTATAATTTTGAGCCACCAAATAAAAAGGAGCACACTAGACTAGTTCTTTTAAAAGAACTGCACTGGATGTTCTAACCTCATGAACAGTGAAGGTCAGCTAAGTACATTAGAAACACCTCCTCCAAGCAAAATGGACTTCAAGCCCACAGCAGAATTTAAGATGCTCTGTTTGAAGTGATACAAACAAAAGGCTATGTACTTGTGGGGTGTGAGGGGGAGGGCAGACAGACCCCCTTCAATTACCTCTGATACTGCTGCATCTGGTTTTCGTACTTCTCCTACATGGGAAATGTCAGTTGTGGCAGAGCGGAGAGGTCCCCACCTGGTTTGCTTTTGTATCTCTGACACACTGTTGTTCTCAGGACCCTGCAATTCAGGAAAATCCAGTCTGCTAAATTCAAACTCCGGTTTGGAGGTAGAAGTATTTTTTGCATTCATTCTGGATTTCCTGTCTGTTCGTTTATGATAACCATCTATAATGACAGAATGGAAAATAAAGGTAAAAATCAAGATCTAGCTTGATGCCCAGTACTTCAGCTTAAATTTCAGAGTACAAAGTCCATGTTATTTGATAGATCAGGCTGTTATCAAAAGATCTGACTGCTGCTGATGTTGCTAACCTTCTTCTTAATAGTATAGAGCACAAACGACCAGAAGCGCCATGCAGAAAACCCAAAATATAGACTGCAAATATTAAAAGTAATTCTAAAGCTGATAAAATAGTTGCCACATACAATTATACAGCTGAATATAATATTCATAATATATATTATATATCTTACAATTTTATAAATTTAGAAATTCTGTTGGAAATGTCTTGGGATATTGGGGTGTACAAATGAGAACATCAACTTGAAAGGAAGTCAGCAAAACAAAGTTTAAGTTTACATCTGCAGAAGGGCATTCATTACTACTGACAGGAAGCCAACTAGGCAAGTGGGCTGAATTGGCACAGGTTTTAATGTATGTAGGTACACAACCTTAAGTGATTGGCTACCTTTATCAAGCAATTTACCAAAACCAGGACACCTGGCCAAATTGCCAGAAAAATGTTATTCAGCTGGAGCTCAACACTTGAGCTACACCTCCAGTGCCCAGAAAAACAATTCTTATAACAGAATATGGTTTAACTCAAATGGTTCTTCCAAGTTGGTGGCTACCATGAAATGGTAGTGCCTATGTCAAGTAACCACTTTGAAAAAAAATAATTTCAACCCATACAATTCTAACAAATATCCTGGTAAGTTACAATCTACTTTTAGTATGTTGACATAAACTGGATGAAGGTGACATAATACAGCTTCTTTCCCATCTTTCTCCTGAAATGAGAGAGATAAATTGGCACCACTGGCTCACACCTATAATCCAAGCTACTCAGGAGGCTGAGAGCTAAGGACCGTGCGTAGTTCAAAGCTAGCCTGAGCAGAAAAATCCAGGAGACTCATTTCCAATTCATCAGCAAAGAGCCAGAGGAGGACCTATAGCTTAAATGTTACAGCACTAGCCTTGATTGAAAAAGCTAAGAGATAGCATCTTTAGCTTAGTGTCTGGTACAAGCCCAGAACCTCCCCACTTTCCTCCCTAAACACAAAGCATTAGATGAGGTGGGCTGTGGCTTCTCACGGGAGTGGGAGGTCACAGTCACTGTGGTACTAATTAAATTTTCCTTTCCACTTTCTATGTGCCAGTTAGTCTGAGTTCTAATTCACTAATATTAGTAAGTTACATAGATAATGAAAGTTATCAAACTGAACTAGTAAATACACAGACAAAAAAAAATGTCGCCAGGGATATAGCCCAGTTGTAAAGTTGTTTGCCTAGCATGCTCAAGATTCCGAGCTTAAGCTGGGTGCCGGTGGCTCATGCCTGTAATCCTAGCTACTCAGGAGGCTGAGATCTGAGGACCGAGGTTCAAAGCCAGCCCGGGCAGGAAAGTCCGTGAGACTCTTGTCTCCAATAAACCACTAGAAAATCGGAAGTGGCGCTGTGACTCAAGTGGTAGAGCGCTCGCCTTGAGCTGAAGAGCACAGGGACAGCGTCCAAGCCCAGAGTTCAAGCCCCATGACCGACCAAAAAAACAACAACAAAAAAAAGATTCTGGACTTAGACCCCGGCAGAATTTAAAATAAAAAAGAAAGAAAAAGAAATAGCTTTTGCCAGGCAAGATAGCATACACCTGTAATCCCAGCACTCAGGAAGCTGAGACAAAGATCATGAGTTGGAGGCTAGCTGGGACTACATAGTGAGACTCAAAAAACTAAAACACAACAAAAAAAATGACATCATGTAAAATCATTTTCAACTAGACTGGAACATAATTTTGCAAGTCCAGAGTAGACATAACTTATGGCAAAAAAGAAATGGTGACTTATCATAAGTGTGATACCCAGGATTGGCATTACTTAGGATGGGATTTTAGACACAAACATTCTTACCTACTAAAAGTTTTCCACAAAAAACCCAGATAAGATCCTTATGAATAAACACAGTAAAATATAGTACAAAGACTATAGCTACGATCTGTTCTTAGTCTATGGTTTGAAGCTTCCAGTTATCACTTCCTTGCTATGATTTCAGACAAGTTCTTCATATATAAAGGACCTAAGGCCACAATGCAGCACATACAATGTAATCCCCTGCCTGAGATTAAAGGTTTCCAGAGTCTCAGAGGAAGTCTAATGTCCTTGGTTATGCTGGGCTCTAGGTCTCATTTCTTAGAGCAGTCATGATGAACAAATTGACAGAAACCTGTTTCTAGGATAGATCAGACAGGTGATGTTATACTATTAGGCTTATTTTTACCTGATTTCAAACTATTTTCAGCATGAATGGACAGATGTGAACCTTTAGTTGACTTTAACTCAGATGATACACTGTCAGTCCTTTTATTGTTAAACTTTTGCTCATCATATGTTTTTCTCTCATCATAGGATTTTTTCTGCAGGAGAAAAAACAACATGAAGTAAGAAAACTACCACAATTAAAAAAAAACATTAAAAACCACAAATTAGAAGTGTTCATCACAAATTATTTAAGAAGACAGGCTAAGCCATTTTTCAAATGTTTATATATCACAAAAAGATTAGCAATGCTTAAAAATGCAAAAACTTCACCAACTCTTTACATTTTAAATATTAAAAGTACAAAATCAATGAGACAGAAAAACCACAGCATTTCCTCACCTTAAACACTTTTGTTTCCTGTGGGAGAGAGCACATGTGCTCATTTCTGGGCTTCTCTGACTGAAAACCTCGGTAGCAATTAGGTCGACTGTAATCATAACGGGAGGCAGGCACTGCGCAAACATTCTGCGCAGGCTCAAGGGTGTAAGGAGAATAGGCGTATGGATGGAGAGTTAGCTCAGAAGATAAATACTGGGGTGGAAATGTTGAAGTTCCAAAGGCCAAATCTTCAGTATACATTTTCTGTCTAAAAGGTATAAATTTTAGTTGCAGATTTTATGACACAAACCAACAAACTTAAATTTTTATAGTATTTAAAGTCTTATCATAAGATTATTAGCTAGATCATTCAAATATTGAAAAAAATCCTCATTAAAAAAGCAAAATGTTCAAGATAAATGTACTCATAAACTGACATGCTGAATCAAAACCTCTTTGTTCTTAAAAGATTAAAAAAAAATTAAGGCAAAATGATACCACTTTATCTTTGCCAAGAAAGATGCTCACCTAGTTTCTCTTTTAAAATTAATAAGCCACAGTCTATAAGCAATGTCAACAAACCAGAAAATGCCCAGCAGAATTTAACATCCATCTGGTGTTTAGTACTTGAGTATGCTTCTCTCTGTAACTTTGGACAAAATCATCAAAGACCATCATTCCCTTTGCCAGGGAGCTGAACAAGAGCTTGCACAGCCTCTCTCCAAGAAAGCCAGGCTCCTATTGCCATTTTTCTCCAGCCCTTCTCTGTTCCAAGTCCTACACAACATTCTACAGTTCTTAGTGAGGCTAAAGTAAAAAGGGAACATTCCTTGGCATGGAGACCAGGAATAATACTCCCACAGACAACAAGGGCACCATCCTTTATTTATTTAGTTACTATTTTTTAAATTGTTATAAAGGTGATGTATGGAGGGTTACAATTATGTAAGTCAGGTAAAGAGTCTATTTTTTTAAGTTTAACTGTTATTATAAAGGTGATGTATAGAAGGGTTACAGTTACGTAAGTCAGGAAAAGAACACATTTCTTTTTTAACAATGTCACCTCTTCCCTTATTCTCTCCCAGTTTTCCCTTCCTGTCCCCACTCACAAGTTGTATAGCTCATTTTCAACTTAGTATCTAGTGAATACCACTGCTGGATTTGTTCACCCTTTGTCTTTGCAGTTCTGGGGCACCATCTTTTAGTACTATTCTATTGTCTCAATTTCTTCAAGCTTGTAGACTAAACCAAAATGTTGAACAAATGGTTGAAGACTGTAGGTTTCAGCTATTTTCCAATGAAAGCTGACACAATGACAAAACGCTAAGTGGTTAAATATAGTTAATATACAAATCACAGCCTCCTCATCCTCACAAATAAGCAAGGTACATGTTCCTGTGAACTTCCAGAGCTATACTAAGGCACACTGGTATATTCCAAGCTTAAGCATGACATATCTGTGTGATTATATAATATTTTATGACAAACATATCTTTTAAGATCTTTTGCTTCTAGGCAACTAATTCTAATAATGCAACATTCTTAAGGCCCACACAAAACCTCCTTCAATGACTTTTTTCTGTCCTAAACAACACCTGCCCTTGTGTTACTCCTAACCTATCCTAACAGATAGGTTCCTACTGGAACCTATCCAAACATTTAATCTACTCTTTCCTAAAAATTGAACCAGAACACAGTCATTATCATAAATACCATTTTAAAAGACCACCATGTTTCCTACTTCCTACCTAGCAAACCTAAAGTTTTCAGCTGTATTGCGTAGATTTCCGATCTATCTAGCCCATATGCTAGTTCACCAAATATTTCCCTACTTCCTACCCAGCAAATCAAAGTTTCAGCTGTACTGCTTAAGTTTTCCATCTATGATATGCCAAGTGCTAATTCTTCTAATTAGTTGTAACATATTCATCAGTTGCTCTTGTTTTGAAATTACCACAGAATATTGCAAGATGCTTGAAGGAAAAAAAAATCTTGCCAACAGAAGTAGTAGTTTTGGAGGATACTAAACTTAAGCCAAAAAAACCTAAATGCTAATTCTATCTCTTGGGAAGCAATGCAGTCTCCATTTATCTTGGCCTAAAGTAACACATTAAGGGAAATGATAGGAAGAGCTCCACTTTTCAACATCAAGTACAGATAAGCTGTGCTACTGGCTTAAGACGCTTTTCAGCTGGATAGCATTTTCCTATCTACAGAATTTTTAATATGGTAGCTTTGGTTAATCATCATTAAATTCAAGAAAATAAGCCAATTGAGTCTCTAACATAAGGCAAGACATTTAGAAAAATACATACTCAGTGACAGGTGGTTCCTGCACAAATGGGTAGTACGTGGCTGCGCAGCTAGGGAAGACACAAGCTTCTGAGGACTCTGACCATGCCGCAGTGAGCCCAGCAAATTTGGGGACAAATGGTTTCACATCTGCTGATAGCTTGACGCTGTCCTGAGGGGGAAAAAAGTGGGGGATTGGGCTACATACACTGAGATAAACAATTTAAAAAACCTAAGAGGGGCTCCATTCAAACAGCTCCAGTGCTATTTAAAAACTTCTATAAAGTGAAACTGTGATTTTGTTGTTTAACAATTTCACAATTTCTCTCCCAACACCTCAGTAGAAAAAGCAGTCTTTTTAAACTGAAAGCGAAAAGTCCTTCTGAATGTTAAGAACAACTAAGTCAAACAGAAGTAATCTATATTATTACATAAAGACTACAGCTAACGTTTCTGTGGGAAACACACATTTATCGATTAGCTTTCATTAGACCTAAGTGGGAACCGAAGACCTACGTCGTTATATACACTCAGCGGGGGCTATTTAACTCACAACTTTCAAAAATAACATGGAAAAAGTCCACGTCCCTTCCATGTAAAAATGCCACGAAATCTCTGCTAGATAAATTATCCCACCGCCACGAGCCCTTGGACGTTTGGGTGACTTGTTCTGAAACGGGTAGCTTTTCAGTTTTAGAACCACGGTTTTCAGTCTAAAACTAATTCACGTGACTGCCAGGACTCCATCTAGCGGTCCACACAAGAGGTGAGAAAGCCGAGACCCGGCTTAAGAAAGTTAACTCTTCGGAGCTAGCAAGTGGCCGGTCGCGACTGCCGGGTCCTCAGCAGAGCTCCGGGAAGAGTCCCGCCGCGGGCGGGGTCCGCGCCGGACCCCAGCTCCGAGCAGGTTCGGGCTGCCAGCCCGGCCGCGGCCTGAGAGCCCGGGCCGAGGCCTCCGAGAGCTCGGCGCACGGACCCAACAGTGCCAGCGGCTCTTACCTCGCCTTCGGACTCCCGCGGCCCCTCCGACGCCATGGCGGCCGGCTCCTCCGAGCCTGAGCCGGGGAAACCAGCGGCGGCCCAGACCCACAACTCGGTGTTTCCGCCTTCCGAAGGGGCGCCCGGAAGTGCGTCACTGAGACGCGACTGCATTTCCCACTTCCTCACGGAAGTGCGTAAGGCCCGAGGCCGACGCCGACACGTGGTGAAAACCCCGGCGCTGGAGGGAGGGCCGCGGCAGAATGAGATCCCTGCCCGGCTCTTCCAAAGGGGGTTGCCAGGGCAATTACAGGCAGCTTGAAGCTGTGGTTTGCTACACTCCGGGGCCTTGTAAGGCTGTTATTTAGAGAAGAATCCTTTTCTTTTTGTAAGCAGACAGGTACTGAGATGACCTCCCCCATCTTTAGACTGCATCTCCATGGTTCCACACCGCCCAGTTTGCATACCCTGCAAAAGCCTTATAGAACCAGGGGGCCAGCAGCGTACACCTGTAATCCTAGCTGCTCAAGATTTGGAGCCAACCGGGGCAGGGGCAGGAGTCACTGAGACTTAAGCCTGATGGGGAGCTGTCTCAAGTGGTAGAGCACTGACCTTGAGCTGAAAAGGCTCAGGGACAGCATCGGTGTTCAAACTATGAACCACCAAAAAGCTCCAAGTGGAGCTGTGGCTCATGGTGGAGGACTATTCTTGGGCTGGAAAACCTCAGGGACAATTCAGGCCCAGAGTTCAAGCCCCAGTACAGGCAAACACACAAATCTAGGGCTGCCTCATCTATGGGCATCTTAAGCTTCCACAAATTTGCCATACAAAAGAAAACTTCAGAATTGCTGTCAAGGTGTTGAAAGTAAAAATACTAGGGCAGATAATAAATACTGCTTTTCCAAATGAAAACAAATTTAGATTTAAGTAATGAGAGTTGGAAGGTGGGAGGCTGAGAAATCCAGAGTGAATTTCAAAAGAAAACGGAGGCCAGAATTTTAAGTTATGCAGGTGAAGAAGAAAATAGGCTTGCTGCAGAGACACTAGTGGCTCACACCTCAAGACAAGCAAAGAAATAATAAAGAGTGCTTACAATGACAATGCAGGGGTTGAGGTGTTGCTTTCCCTTGAGTAAGACTTGAAAACTTTATCATTTCAATGAAAAAATTCAGGCAGCTCCAATTCCTTGCTCAGGTTTATGACAAGTGGTTTATTATTACTATGAAACTCAGCTGCACATTCAGACAGGAACTCAAAATGGACAGCTGAAAACTTTTCCCATAATAGCATTCTTTTCTCTTCTACTGGAACATTTTTTGTTGGTTGTGGGGCTTGAACTCTGGGCCTGGGCGCTGTCCCTCAGCTCTTCAGCTCAAGGCTAGTGATCTACCACTTAAGACACAACGGCACTTCCAGTTTTGTAGATAAGTGGAAGTTAACACAAATACTATTAAGTTAGGCATTTCTAGCCACTTGAAGATTATAGGGTTATGTGGGAATTTTAACAGTAAAGCCCTAAAATCTACATTGGCTCTAGCTGAAATGTATCTATGGTGCTTACATTTCCTTGTAAGTGAATTAAAGGGTAACCCCAACATACCAACTATTTTAAACACACTTATCATTTCTTTCAAAAATAAGTTTATTTTCTCAAGGCTAAATTACAAAATTGAAAATTAACAGCCAACAATTAACTGTAAGAAAATATACCTCATAACAGTGGTAAATGCAACATACAAACTTTATTTAACAAAAATAACACGTAAAGTCAAACAAGCACTTATATTAAGAGAAAAAAACAACTAGAAGAAATTTTAAACACCTTACAATAACCTACTTGCAGTTGCATTTAACTGAGCTCTGTTGCTGTGAAGAATACAGCTCATGGCACAGGTATTGATGAATTGTACATTTTTTTCAAGTATTCACTGAATACTACCCTTATATACACATATACATTTGAACAAGGTTTAACTGATGATCCCAGATAAGACTTCATTTTTGTTGCTCTTTTGGAAGAGGTCGTCTAAAGAGAAGAATATGGGGTTCTGTGGAAAGAAAATGTTCGTTTAATATGATTGAAAATAGCTAAATTTCATTTATGCATCAAAATTCAAAGCATTCAACTGGATGAAAATTACTAGTTTAACTATTATCTAGCTGAAGTACTGAAGATGAATTTCACTTCCAAGACAAAACAAAGAATTACAAACTATGGGCATATTTCTGGTATTTTTGTTATACATATGTTGTGGAGAAAGTGAACAATCTTGGGAATGTTTTTAACTTTACAATCTTCATAGTGCAAAGCAGAGAAGTATAAACTACATGGGGATTAGTGTGGATTCCACAACTAGTGCATGTCGATTACCAAGAAAGAAATCAGGCCTAGTGACAAACCTGTAATTCCAGCACTTGGGAGGATATACCAGAAAGATTTGGTTTTGAGGGCCAGCTATCTAGGGAAATTGTTCTTTAAAAAAGAAATGGGCCTGGAGCCAGTAGATCACGCCTACAATCCTAACTACTCAGGAGGCTAAGATCTGAGGATTGGCTCAAAGCCAGCCTAGGCAGTAAAGTCCACAAGACTCATTTCCAATAAACCACCCAGAAAACCAGAAGTGGTGCTGTGGCTCAAGTGGTAGAGCACTCACTAGACTTGAGCTGAAGAGCTGAGGGACAGCACCCAGGCCCAGAGTTCAAGCCCCACAACCACCAACGAAAGACACATATCCTCCATAGAACCTGTTTCAGTAAATGAGGCTTGACCCAGGAAATCTATGGAGTTTCCCATTCCTCAGTTGCTTATGTATATCAGAGAAAGCCCCCGGAAATTCGAATATGTGCCCTCATCATGATGATGTTATTTTACTTAAACAAAAGATGGCTATCCTATCTAATTTGGAGTCCACAGGTCTTTGAATGTTGCTCAAAAAAGTTACACTTACTGATTAATCCCAGATTAAAGTAAAATTTAACTCTGCAAAGTTTTAGTCTGTTTTTACTCAATGTCTGGAAAACTGTTGGTTATTACCATAGAATAGCATAAGGCAGTGGGATGTAAATAAAATAGGGAGGCTGGGAAGGTGGCTCAGCGGTAGAGCACTTGCCTTGCATGCATGAGGCCCTGGGTTCGATTCCTCAGCACCACATAAGCAAAAAGAAAAAAGCCAGAAGTGGCGCTGTGGCTCA